CTCATAATTTGTTAGACGACTCATCAGTGCATGCAATATTGCTGAGTTCTAGTTATGCGATTACATCATCACTTGCAATGTTTTGTGTGGACACTGTGGAGTGGTGAAGCGGTGGTAGCGAAAGCAATGGGTTGCCGCTCAATACAAAGCATATTGTAGTGATGTCATTAGCTGGTTTGTCACTCAATGCAAAGCATATGACTGTGGTGATGTCATTCACTGGTTTATAGCTCGTCACGTAGCATACATATAAATTTAATATCTTTCTTTGGCTCGCCACTCGATACAAACCATGTATGATGTTGTTTGCTTCACCTCTATTGTACCGGAGCCCATCGCACACTCACTGTGCTGTGCCCAGCATGACCTGGATTGGCGTTCAGTTTGCTTACGTTCAAGGCGTTGTGTGTGTGTGTGTGTGTGTGTGTGTGTGTGTGCGTGCGTGCGTGCATGGGTATGTGCGTGCGCGCTCATGTGCGCGTGCACATGTGGTTGCGCGTATCCGTGTGTTTGCGTGTGCATATGTGTGTGCTTGTGTTTGCGTACGCGTGTGTATATGTGTGGGTATGCTTATGGTTGATGTTGTTGCTGCTGTTCTTTTTTGCTGCAGCTGCGTATCAACTTTGATGGCTATGGCACTGCTGGAGAATACTGGTGTGATGCAGGCAGTCCTGATATTCACCCTGTTGGATGGGCTGCTAATAGCCGCAAGCAACTCCGGCCACCCCCAGCACCAGCAGGTAGGAGCCTGGCTAGCCGACCGCTGTGCCCCGGTCTGTGCTGCGTTCACTGGGAAGCAGCTCGCGAGCAGTGCGTACTCAGCTGCAGTGTGTGCGTGTGTGTGTGTGTGTGTGCGCGCGTGCGTGCGTGTGTGTGTGTGTGTTTGTGTGTGTGTTTGTGTGTGTGTTTGTGTGTGTGAGTGTGTGTGTGTGTGTGTGTGTGTGTGTGTGTGAGTGTGTTTCGATGGTATACATCACATAGAGTGACACCACTGGAGCGCTGGTAGTAACGATGCGTACATGCCATTCAGAAAATGAGAGACTCCGGGCTTGACAAAAATGATTTATGTGAAATTTAACACAGGCAGGCATAGTTGAATGGTCTAAGGCCATGGCTGAGAAACAGAGGGTACCGGGTTCAAATCCTGGTCGGAAGTGGCAGGATTTTTCCAGCCGTGCTGGGAGCCACAGTTAATTGGAAAGCCGTCGCCTGGCACAAGGGAAATATGGATGCAACGAATGGGATTCTTGATCCTGGACCAATTTGTTGGCGGGTCTAATCTACTCACCTCCCACTGCATTAGGAGCTGCATCTGCATGTTGATCCAGAGTGTGATGGCTTTCCTGTGCATGCGGACAACTTAATCTGACTGAGCCTCGTGCAAGCGCGAGATCTATTTACCATATGTCCGCACCTTTAAAGCCATGGGGGTACAGTCAACTTTGCGTATAACGACACGTCCGGCGGGGCATCAGAAAAGTGTCCTTATTCGCGAAGTGTCGTTATACCCGAAGTCGCATTCTATGTATTACAGTTGGATGGGACTTTGCTCTGGGCATGGAAATTCTGTCGTTATTCGCGAATTGTCGTTATATCCGCAGTCGTTATTAGCGAAGTTGACTGTATATTCGATTTTAAAGCCAGTCTCAGTTATAAAGCCATGGGCTTCATAAATGAGATGACATTTGAAGAATACTTGTAAAAATGAAGCAATTAGTATTATACTATCAAACTTACAGCCCAGCAGGAAGGGTGAACAAGTGGATTTGGAATGAAATTTCTGTGTGGACTTTGACTTTTATGGTATGGCATAGTGGGTGAGTAATTTTGCATCTAAAATAGCTAGGAAAGCAGCGGTGCTTTGAATATAAGGCCATGGCTTTAAAGGCGCTGACATACGGTATTAGGCAGAGTCTGATTCAAATCGGGCGGAATTGAGTTTTAGATCAGCTTGTTTGTACTTCATACTGTAAGTATTAACAAGTAGCATTTTACTTTTGACTGACCCTCGAGGTTGTATCATGACAAACACGTTGATTGCATCAATTTCTGAATGGGCTTCTATCTGTGTGTGTGTGTGTGTGTGTGTGTGTGTGTGTGTGTGTGTGTGTGTGTGTGTGTGTGTGTGTGTGTGTGTGTGTCCCATATGGTGCAGTGGTATGTGCAGCAATTTCCAATCGATAGGTTGCGGGTTCGATTCCCGACGATTATGGTCACACACGTCTTTCTTCTCTCTCTCAGACTCTTCCTGACTTTTCTTCTGTCCCTCCAGGAAGTTGCGATTCCGCGGCCGCGTTGTTTCCGCGATTTGGACAAAAGTCCGTGATATCCGCGATATTTGAAAAATCATCCGCGTTATTGTAGAAAACTGTCCTTGATACTTGACAAGCACCACGATATTTCGAAAAGCAACCGCGATATTTGAGTCTTTCTTCGATGTTAGTTCTTCAAGCTAGTCAGTAGTTTACTTGTGAGATCGAAACCAGACTGGAGAAGTTTCTGGGAAAATCATTGGCTGACAAGTCACAAAATAAGGCTCGCGTCGAGTGTTGTCCGAGGACGGAGGGAAGCTGTCTTGCAAGCTCCTGTCAGGCAGTTGAACACATGCACAGTCAGCGCAGCACACGTTCTGTTTTGTCATGCATGATTTATGCTGTACGACTCGTACATCGTACACCACTACAGTACAAGTACCAAAATAGGCCGCAATTTCCGCCATTTTACCACAATAATCCCGCAATATTTGACAAAAATCCGCAATATTCCCCACAATTTGTGGCATTTTACCTCGCACCTTTTTCCGCGATATTTCCGAAATGTCTCCGCAAGTTTCTGGAGGTACAGTTTCTTTCATTCTCCTGGGTGGTTACCAACAGCCAGTGCATGCCGGAGTATGTGGTGTGATGTGTGTGCGGGAAAAATAAACAAAAAAGGCCAAAAAGTAGGGATTCACTCTCCAGAAAAAGCCACTTCATAGCTGTGTGGTGTAGACCAGGCTGAATAGTGGCGGCCAATTCTTCAGCCTTGCAAGCTAATGAATGGTGCAATCCCAGCACAAGTTGCTATAGCTTCTGCTGTAGCATCGCTATCATCGTCTCTGGCGATGGGCGTACAATGGTGTGTGTTTGTGCTGATGTATTTTGTGTGTGCATCATGTGTTGTGTGCTGTCTCAGGCGTAGCTCCTGGTCAGTTTGATTGGCACCATTACCTGAGCTCAGTACCGGCGCAGGCTGCACCTCACCACCTCTTCACGGAGGTACAGAGAACAGTTATCATGAACCGCATAGCTGTTGCAATGGCACTTCTGCATAATATTATGATGCTTTGTTGTTGTTGCAATGGTACTGATGCATAAGACATGATTGCAGCCTTTTTTGCACATTATAATACAGATGAGAGGGACAGTAAGGAGAGAGACAATACGGCGACAATCACCATACACTAACACTGCTCCTTTCCCGCTCACCATCTCTCTCTCTTTCTGTCTCTCTCTGTCCCTCTCTGTCTCTCTCTCTCTCTCTGTCTGTCTCTCTCTCTCTCTCTCTCTGTCTGTCTCTCTCTGGCTCTCTCTGTCTCTCTCTCTCTCTCTCTCTCTCTCTCTCTCTCTCTCTCTCTCTCTCTCTCTCCGTACAGGCGCAGCGTACCATTACATTCACCCAGCCACCCACCCCAGCTCGTTCCGACGTCTTGGCATCGCCGGGATGCAGAGACTGCATCCCCACCGTACCCAACAGCCCGGCAGGCGCAGCTCAATCCTTCTCCATGGCCAAGACGTTCCGGCCAAACATGGCGCTGGAGGTGGACGACCCGGGCGCTCCCACGCTCACCTACCCGTGTCGCAGTCGCATTATAAGAAGGACACGGCGCTTTTAGTGACTTTTTGCATACGAAACCCATCTAGCAGGGCGCAGTCACCCAGTTTCGGTGGAAGTGCGCGAGTTCGAGTGGGAATAAAGGAGGAAGGGAGCGTCTCGGCTTCCTCGGACCAAGACCATTCGACTCAGCACCCCGAAGACTACAACTGGTGACAATTTGATTTTAGGGTATACTTCCCGTTGAAATACTACTTGAAGTACTGATAACATTATCTGTGCATCCCTACATCGTTCTTGGCAGGGCATGCCACCGTTGCTGCATTTTCAATTCACTCGGAACTTGATATCAGGCTTCGAATTCTCCACTAGAACCGTTTCGTACAGCGCGCTGAGTCTTGTCCTCACAGAATATTACTGGTCATATGCAGCTGTACATAGTTACACGACACCAGACCGTGGGCACCGTCAGCGTTGCGTACGTTATACCAGCGGTCGTCCGACTCCAGGATGTTGAGAACCGTGACCATGTCGCCCTGCATGACGGCGAGCTCATCGGCTGCACTGGGTGTGAAGTCGTACAAGACGGTTGCTGGGCCCAGGCAGGCAGTTCATTCGGTTTTGACGGATGGCGGCAACAGCATGTTATTATCCATCACGTCTGCTATCGGTGCATCATACTCAATGGGCTCTTGTGTCGGCCAGGCCGTGGTGGGGTGCTTGGCTGTCTCTGTGATCTTGGCGACCTCGGGCGTCGGTGCTGGTGACGGAGAAAGGCTCATGTCATCGGCGAGCGGTTTCACCGTATCGCACATCACCGTCTCATACTGAATGGCGTCATCTGTTGAATCCGCTGTGTTACTCAATGGTGCTGGTGGCAGCCGTGGTAATGGACAATGTTCCTCAGTCAAGGTGCTGCGACGTTGAACATTCATGTATGAGTCATTGGGAGGCGGGTTCATCGGAGGAGGAGGTGTCGGCCCGATTTCCATTCGCTGGAGGCTTTCCTTGCGAACCTGCGGCCAATTTGAATAGATGTCATTCTCACTCTTGCTTAGTTTTCTGCTAGCTGCTGTTGCAGATAGGGTTGCCCTTCTTGAGCCAGCTGTAGTCAGGCTTTCGTCGAAGGTGAAGCATTGCGCTGATTGCGCCTGATCAGCACAGATGTTTTCCTGGTTGCTGAGCGCAAAGGCATGGATACCGTTTAAGCTAGAGGATCTAGGTCGGTTCGTGTGCTGCGTCGTCGTCGTCGTCGTCAGTGAAGGCGATAAGCATGTAGGAAGCGTCTCTCTACGGCCACTTCCGGGTCTGCTTCCAGCGTCCTCTTTGGATTCCGATGCTGTGGGTGGCCGCGGGGTGGATATCTCGAAGAAGCCAACCGTGTCCACAGGGGCACCCCACCTGGTTCGAGTTGCACTGCTACTGCCCATGGCCCACGGTGATGGACCACTAGCACTGCGAATTGGTGAGTTTCCGGGGACGTTTGCGAGAACATCACCACCAAGCAGTAAGTCGTTCGGCGTCAGGCCATACTCCGTCTGCCCGACGCTGCAATCCATCGGCCCACACCCGATCTTGTCCAGCAAATTCATGTTCAGCGTCTTGTGTCCCGTGTACACCGCTACCTCGATATGTTTCGGCGGAATAATCTTCTGCTGGCGCTTTTTGGCCAGCTTGGGCTTACAAACCCCGTTTGCTTCTCGCTTGGCGACCTTCTCCCGATGGACCTCTACATTCAATATGATCTGGCTAGCATCGGATAGGATCGACTGGCACGTATCGTCAACTACGTTCAACACTCCAAGCACGGATGAAGTGGACTCGTTAAGGCCGTTATCACACTGCGTTTTTTGAGGCGCATTTGCGTGAGCGTTTGCGTTTGAGGCCGGAAAAACGCAAGGCGTAATATCACACTATACTTGTAATTTTCAACGTTTGCGTCAAAAACTGTATTCGCGGGAAATGTGGGGAATCGATCTCCTCGTTGCCGGGGATATTGACTATTTATTTTCCTGAGATCGAGAAAGTGTTCTGTTTGTGCTGCTATGTCCTTTGTCGGTGTTGCTGGGGAATGGGAGTTGATAGGAAGAATCAAATCTTGGCAAGTCTCCGGATCAGGGCGTATGGAACGTATCGTCAAAGTTCAAGGCATGATCCATTGTCAATAGTGGATCAAAACAGATCCGTGACGAGGCAGCCATCAAGGTGTGTGAGGAGTACTCGTAGAAGTACCCTCGCCGGCCTCAGCAAGCGCTTTGCCATTGCCACCACAGCGCTGTGTGCCCCGGTCTTTGTGGATGAAATATGTGCTAAGCGGCGTATCTGGTCAGAGAATGTGGCATTGGACGACTTCTACGAGAAGAAAGTGACTGGGAGGTGGCTGGAAGTAGCGCAAAATCTCGAATCTGCAGGTGAAGATGGCTCACAGTATCTGGACGAAAAATACATGAACGTTCAGGGTGAGCTGTGCCCTCTTCAAGGCTCTCCACGAGGATACTGCTGAGTTGTGGAGCAAGCAAGATACTGTGCTTCGCATGGCGGTTTGTTCTCGAAAACGACTGGCAATCCTGCTCTATTGGCTTGCCCATGCCACCACGCAAACTGGGCGTGGTGAGATATTCTGCGTTGGCCAATCTACTGTGCATGGCATACCGTATGATCTCTAATATTATATGCACGGTCCTTTATTTTTTCAATGTACCTCCGCCCCGTGCTATTAATGGAGACGTTCCTTTATTGGAGACTGTTTCATTACCATTTCAGAGGCATGTTGCCATGCCAAATTCATGTATGACACACATTTCAGGGTTTTTTTCGCCGGTACAGATAATGAATTTACACAGTGTGCTTATAATGGAGACTGAGCACTTTATTTTTTGAATGCCGCCCCAAGGTGTTCTATTATTGGAGACGTGCTATTATTGGAGACTGTGCTTATGAGAGATAATACGGTACTGCACGCTGGAGTGGACGCCCCGTGGTCGCATCTCGTCAGAAAGGCAATTTCATTCCCAACTGGAGCTGACCTGGCGAGGACAATCGGCGGCTTCAAACAACTGTCCAAGCTGCCCATGTGTGCCGGTGCCATAGACGGCACATTCATGAAGCTGGTAAAGCCGGTTGTTTGGGGCGACTCCTACTGGTGTTATAAAAGCTACCCAGCCATCCTCACCTTGCTGTCGTTGACTGTGATGGTATTTTCACATTCGTGGATGCCGGCCGTGCAGGGTCCCTCGGGGATGCATTTACCTACAACCGCAGTCGTCTCAGAAAGAACCTGGAGAACCATTCTTGGCTCAGCGAATTTACAAAGACTGTGTCAGGCCAACAAATCAAGCCATATCTGCTGGCGGATTGAGCCTTTGCTGGATCTGAGCACATCGTGAAGGGCTACAAGCATCCCCCTGCACCTGGCAGCCAGTCCGACTTCAACGGAGCAGTGAACAAGGGGTGAAAGGTTGTCGAGCAGGCCTTTGGCCGCTTGAAAGGTCGTTTCCGGATCCTGAAGGATTCCTTCATCCAGGATCCCCAGTTTGCAGCGAAAGTTGCAATGCTGTCCTGTGTTCTTCATAATATTTGCACTCGTGGAAATGTACCCTTCTACGAATCATGGTTGTGTGATGCCGCTGGCGAAGTGAATGCCCATGATCTGCCACCGGCCTTCCCACCAGGGGCTGCAGTCGGTGCTGCGAGAAGTGAAGTTGTTCGCCTGGCTTTGGCAACCTATGTTCAACAACGCAGGCTGTAGACTCCTTTTTATAACGTGATGCTACTTGAAGTGCTGCTGCTGAACTGTCATGCATTTTGTATGTTATCTCTCTGAAAGTGCATTTGTCTGGACTGAGCACTTGGCCACTGTGCCAATATCATTGTATAAGTTACTCTAAAAATAAATTTGAAACTCGGGTATTGAGCCAATAATAAAAGTAGAAAGGAAAAGGACATATGGAAACGTTCTGACTGTATATAGTATCTAGTTACAGTGGTGGAGAGTTACTCTTAACTCGTTTCCATATGTCCTTTTCCTTTCTACTTTAAAAAATAAATTGTTCCATATTGCGAAGTTGGCCCACTTGGAAACTGCCTCCTGCACCAGAAAATTACATGGAAGCAGAAAGAAAATGTTATAATCTCCGCCAAGGAAAAAATCTTCTCAAAATCTCCAGAAGGTAATCAAACTGTCAATTGGCTTTGAATAGGAAATGAAATCACAGTTCACGAATCACAGCTAGGAAAATACACCAAAGACTCGCACAGCTAGGAAGCAACACTAGCACAGAGATATGAATTATACATTGTGCGATTACACAACAGAACAACAAGGACAATCAAGGCTTGTTTGCTGCTACTTTAAGTTTCATGCTCACGCAATCATCAGGCAACATTGTGCGATTATAATACTTCAGAAGTAATAATTATTATTTTGTACAAGTATCAATAATTCGAACACAATATATCGGATTATCCTGCATCAAAATTCCTCGCCTCCAAATCTCCAGGGTCAGCCACGTGGACGCCTGACTGCGTCAGGACCTTCAACTTGGCATAGGCCGTCTTCGCCTTCTTATTCAATGAATCGAGTTTGTTTTTACAGTGCTGCGGAGTAACTTCCGGCAGGCCTTTTTCTTTTGCAAAATCATTCTGGCGACAGCAGCTTTCCCCAACTTATCATTCTGGGTCATCATCTGTCCCTGTACTGACTCGCTTCGAGAATGTCGTGCCACACACGGCTGACGCATAAAGTGGGCTTCTTGTACTGTATTGTATTGCTTGTATTTTACATCATCGCAAGTCAAACGGGCACTCATGCCCAATGTTATGATGACGATGGAAAGGGAGAAAAGATTAAAAGAACAAGATTAGTTATCCTGGATTACGGGGAGTGAAGAAAACAGTGAGTCTAGGAATCTCTCCTTAGATCATCTTAACATTGGTCATGAAAGTAAACTTTCAATGGACGTGAGAGCTGAGATGTGCTAGGGCAGGACAACTAGAGGGGAATGCTAGGCTGTGAGATTCCGACGTACATATACATGTATTTTGTGTTTGTTTTATGTAATGCATTGCAAATTAAAGGACAATCATCCCCAAACGGATGAAATCTAAGATAACCTGGATAGGTGGAGTAAAGAAAACAGTGAGTTTTTTTTATGAAAGTGCACATATGCCTACATAGATCATAGAATGGAAGATAAAAATAACAACAACATCAAGAGAACATAGACTACAAAGGGCGTGTAGGTGCTATTGAGCTGTGCCGGTGAGGTGAAGTGCGCTCCCCCGACCAATGGTCTCGGGATCAAGGCGCACATCACGCACCATGGGGGAAAGGGAGAGAAGAAAGACTGTGTGTGAAGAGTGAGAACCTGAGAGCCAGACAATGATGGAGAGAGAGAGAGAGAGAGAGAGAGAGAGAGAGAGAGAGAGAGAGAGAGAGAGAGAGAGAGAGAGAGAGAGAGAGAGAGAGAGAGAGAGAGAAAGAGAGAGAGAGAGGAAGAGATGGGGGGGGGGGGGGGTGAGTGAGTGCCAGATTAGTTCAGGAAACTATGGCAATGGACCAACAGCTGCGTTGCTTTCAGTGGGGGGGGGGGCAATACGGAGAAGTTAGATCGGAGCTGCTGCCAGGCAGAGTAGTGTGCAGGCACTGGATCAGCGAGAAAGGGGCCACGAAAAGCAGCAAAAAAGGAAGGAAGAGAAGAAATTAACATTAACGCAAAACATTCTGCACTGAGGTGATTCGAGAGCACTAGGGAGCAAGGTACAGTTCAGTGGGGTGAAGACAAGGTGATCGTTGTGGGACCGGAGAATGGAACATCGTCAAATTTAGCCATGGAATGCTGTCGCCCACAACCAATCCTGGCGCATCAGGTGCTGACAAATGCGAGACTTGAAGGCCTGCATTCCCTTCGATGCCGGAGGTTCCGGGATGACTTGCTCAGGAATGTCGTTCCATGCCGCAATGAGGGTGTAGGGGAATGACCTCAGTAGGTAGTTCGGTGCTGTCCGAGCAAGTGGCCATTGCAACTGGAAAGGGTGGCGAGAAGCTAGTTGTCGGCGGGTTCTAGGAGTAAGTGCAGGCGGCGACGGTGGCGGGAGGAGGGCTGTCAGCTGGGGTGGACCCTTAATGTAGTGCAACTTGTACACATATGCAAGCCCTGAGACTGGCCTCCTAAGCTGCAGGCTCTGAAGGATCGTGTCAGGTCCAATGATTCGCATTGCCTTCTCCTGCACCCTGTCATAGCGTGCTAGGTGGGATTGGGCTGCACACCTGGTGGCTAGGGGAGCGTATTCCAGGATGGGCCGAATGAACCCCTTATACACAGCAAGGCGGCCCTCATGACCCAGAAGGCAAGCAGCACGGCGCAAGAATCCCAGGCGCTGGCTGGCCTTGACAGCGACAGCATGAATATGGCGCTGGAACCCAAGCTTAGAGTCGAATGTGACGCCAAGCAGCTTTAGGTGGTCCGAGTCCGGAATAATCTCGCCGGCAAAGGTGGTTGGTGGAAAGTCAGGGCGCTTTCGAGCATTGCACAAAATCAGGCGCTGGCTCTTGGTGGGCTCGAACTGGATCCGCCATTGCTGGCCCCATGCGGCAAGATTGCTGAGGGTTGTCTGTAAGGATGCTGCCTTCTCCTGGAGGTTGTCGTTTGGTCTGATCAGACTGTACACGGTAGTGTCATCGGCGAAAGAGCTGAGCTTTACTGCATGCGAGAGGCATTGGTCGATATCGGCAGCAAACAATATGAAGAGTGTGGGGCCCAGGACGCTGCCTTGGGGCACTCCGGCAGTGATGGGTACTTCTTGGAAGCGTGGCCTCCAGTTACCACCTTTAGGCAGCGGTTACTCAGGTAGTCGCGTAGCCAAGAGAGAAGAGGTCCGCCGATGCCTACTCGCTCTGCTTTGTTGAGGAGGCCGACGTGAGAGACGCGGTCAAACGCACCGGCAATATCAATTGCTACTACTGGGACACAGCCCCTCTCAGCTACAACCTGCACCCATTCGCTCTGGAGTGCTGTGAGGAGGTCAGCTGTGCCACGGCCACGTCTAAAACCAAACTGGCTGTCAGGCAGCAGGTCGTTGCGCTCCAGGAAATTGGTGATTTGTTGGTACACTCCATGACCTTGGATAAAATGGAGAGCAAGGACACAGGCCGGTAATTGGATGGCCTAGATCGAGGTGGCTTCTTGTATACCGGGACAACGTGAGCGAGCTTCCATTGGGACGGTACAACACCGGCACGAAAGCTAACACGGAACAGTTTCGCGTATGGAGAACTCTCGGGATTTTGTTTTTGTATTTATGGATTCTCCACAGGCCTTGGGATAGGGAACATCCTAGCATTAGCCATGAAAGTAAACTTTCAATAAACGCTTGAATCGTCATGTGGTAGGGCATGACTTTAAGGACGAGGGCAAAACGCAGACATCCTTTCCCAATCACTATCAGTATTGTTCAACTACAGCCTTGATGATGGTGTGTTCCGTGTCCCGTCCTCCTGGAAATCATCCACCGTAATACCGGTGTACAAGAATAGAGGTTGCGCCAAAGAGCCTACCAATTACAGGCCTATATCCCTTCTCCCATGCATAGCAAAACTAATGGAAAAGATTCTCTCGGAACGTCTACTTCGATACTTGATGACCCATGGTGTACTTTGTAAAGGTCAATTCGCATATGTACGCAACAAGTCTGTAACGGACCAACTTATCTTGCTAACCCAATCAATGGCTGTAAATATTGATAATGGCACTAATTTTGACCTGATATCTCTAGATTTCAGGAAAGCATTCGACCGGGACCACTCTATACTCCTAAAGAAATTCGGTAAGATTGCTACAGCTTCGTCAGTAAAATGGCTGAAGAGCTTCTTAGGGGATCGACAAATTGAAGTGAAGGTACATAGCACTAAATCGAAGAAGCGGAACATCAACTGCGGAGTGCCTCAAGGTTCCCACCTTTCACCACTCCTATTCCTACTCAAAATGACCTGCCCAACGCTATGGAACATTGCACACAATATATATTTGCAGATGATGTCACCCTCCTACTGGCTTACAAACCTGAAGACACCCTCGCCAGTAGAGCGAACATGCAGTCTGATCTCGATGCATGTCAAACATGGGGCAGGAACAATGGAGGTGAATTCTCAGCAAGCAAGACATCCGTGCTGTTACATAGAGCTATCAATGATACACCTACTGCAGGAATCCAATACCAAATGTACAATGAGCCATTAACGGTGGTTTCTGAACTGCAACATCTTGGCATCACCTTGACCGACAACCTGGATTTCCGCAAACATGTCGCCTCAATAACTTCGAAGGTCAGATATCGAGTGCACCTACTGTCAATAATGTCCCAGCAACTTACGCCTTCGGCAATGATCATACTGTACAAAGGGTTCGTAAGACCTGTGATCGAATATAGCTGTACGGTGTGGTCGTTTGGATCTAATAAGAAACCCATGACCACTCTTGAGCAATTACAGGCAAGGTTTGCTAGAGCTCTACTGAAAAAGAAAAAATTGCATTTGATTACACTTCTTCCAAATCTGTCTTCAATTCTAAATGCTCCCTAGAGTCACTAGCCTATCTTCGTCAAATCATCAGTCTCACTACTTTTCACAGATATGTTTTCCATCATCGTGATTACCTTGCTGATTTCCATTTCAAGATTACGAATAGTGAGCGACGACCAAATAAAATCATTCTTCCCAAATTTAAATCATTGTCTAAGTCTCTCTTCATGTTCCGAACTGCTATTCTATGGAACTATTTACCCCCCAGTCTAACATCGGAAGCCTCGCTCTATAAGTTCAAAGCTGCCCTCAGGAAATTTACAGCTGACCATGCTTATGCAATCAACGAAATTCCGCCACCTTGCAGTTGATTTCCCCCATTTCTCTCCTCATCAATCCCTACTTGTCTTTGTACATACTTCAAGTACATCTACATCTACTGTTCTTTCAATCAAATGAACCCCTCGATAGGCACATTGCCTTTGGGTCATTTCATAATAATAATAATAATAATTCAAAGGATCAGTTGGGGAAGTGAACTGCCTGAAAAGAGAAAAAATCGCCAGACCCACCAGGACTCGAACCCGGGACCTTGCTTGTCATGAGCAATGCTCTAACCACTGAGCTATGGGACCAGGCTGAACCTAGAAGGCGCTGACAAGTTTTTCACTCCAAAGGCAGCTCACAACACGCGCCACACATACTGATGGCACTTGGGTCTTTCTCCCTCCCCCAGGGGACCAACCACGGTCAGTTTCTGGACCCTACCAGAAGTGAAAGAAAGTGATTAAATTGTGAAAGGATTGGGAGAACTTGAAATTCAAAGGATCAGTTGGGGAAGTGAACTGCCTGAAAAGAGAAAAAATCGCCAGACCCAGCGCGACAAACACCTTGTGAACACCAGATAGCAGCGTGAGTCGCTCCTGGACGGTGAGAACAGACGTCGAGGACCCTCGGTCACTCGGTCACGCTGTCACCTCCAAACCAGCTAGTCGTAAGCCCGCGCTGGGCACAACAGTACGAAGTAGTGGTTGCGACTTCGGCGATGAATTTTTTTTAGGAATGGGTTTGCTCCCACACTGGAGCTCGCGCCGCCGACTTGACTTGACACTTGACTGAATCACGACTGCCATCCAGAGCACACGAGAAGTCCATCGAACCTTCGACTCGGCAAACCTGCAAGAAAGCACCACTCCCTGCTCTGCTGGAAATGGAGCGTCTCTGTAAGTTTGTATCCCTGGTGATGTTTGTGCCTGGAGAGCACTATATAAGTGGTGCTTTTCAGGCACCATCTTCCTCAGCCTACTCAACTTCTCAAGCTCAACTGATGAGGGGAAAAGTCCATCGAACCGTCCACTCGGCAAACCTGCGAGAAAGCACCACTCCCTGCTCACAGTGTTTCGGGGAATTCACCCCTCATCAGTTGAGCTTGAGTAGGCTGGGGAAGATTGTGCCTGAAGAGCACCACTTATAGTGCTCTCCAGGCACAAACATCACCAGGGATACAAACTTACAGAGACGCTCCATTTCCAGGGCGACAAACACCTCTGTCGATAATTATGGTGGTAACGTAAACACGCACCAGGCAATAGAGATGTTTCGTTTCACGTTGTTCTGCACTACACAGTCCCTCCAGGAATTCGCGATTCCACGGATGCAACAAATTTCGCGATTTTTGCCCAAACCCGCGATTTTCAGCAAAATCCGCGATTTCCCGCGTTTTTTGTTGTTTTCTGCACTATATCTGGTTGTTGTTGGTTGGTATACTTTATTTTACTTCGCCAGAATGAACAGGCATTGCTGCCTTCTTGCCTGGACAAGTGGATTGTCCATATCTCACATGTTTCATGCACTTTTCACACAGTGCTTTCCATGATCCTGTAGGTTATTTGCACAGTATGACTAGTACTACTCCGGTGTAGATATACGATTAGGCCTTGGCGGATAATGCTCGAAAAGGTGGCAGATTCTGCTTTTTTTGCACCGAAATTGGCAGAACCATACAAACCTTATGGCGGGCAATTCCTCGAATTCTGCTCCATTTCTTTATCCACATACCAAACATGCATGAAACTTACCAGAAAAAGTACCGAATTCTGCCAATTTTTCTGCCGGCATTATCCGCCAAGGCCTATATACGATGCAACAAATTTCGTGATTTGGCCCAAATCCGCAATTTTCTGCAAATAATTCCGCGAATTCCTGGCAAGTTCTGCATCATTCCGCACTTTTCGTCGCATTTTTTGTTGTTTTCTGCCGCAATTTCTTGCGCAAATTTTCGAGAGTTTTTTCCGCAAATTCCCGCACGGACGTCGGGGTGGCACATTTTGGCGTCGAACGTTCATGACGTGAGCTGAGGTCAACTCCTGTTCGACGTGAACGCGAGTTTCACGGTGTAGTGCAGAACAACGTGAAACGAAACCTCTCTAATAATTATCATATGGCGGTAAATACACGCCGGATAGTAATTGCACAACAGGAAGAAAGGAGATAAATAGCTGTAAATACAGTCTAATGTCGAGCCAGACGCACCTCAGCCTGGACGAGGTCGACCGGCGCAAGGTCGAAGTGACGACGGCGAACAGAGCGTGATCCACGGACGCAACGGATGGCAGATCTGGCAAGAGAAAATGCCAAGCAGCACCGCAGCCAAGCTACAACCCGGCTATAGGCAGCGTTGCGTTTGGTGGCCAAGCCATGCGCCAGCCTCTTGACTACTACGGCTGCTTCAGAGCCCACCCCACCACAGGAGGAGAAGACTACTGTAACGATGTGAAGGAGCCAACCTCGACTTCATTGACACGTTCACCGTAAGCACGCTTCTTCTCTCCTTCGAACCTTCGGTAGAGGGAGGGGAGAGACTTGGACCGATAGCTCGACGCGTGGGGATAAAACACCGGGTGACCCTTGTATCGAAGAATGCGTTGCGGCTATCGGTCCAGAATCCCTTCACCCGCGGGTCGGCACGGGCATCAGGGTCAGTGTTGGCTGACCGATGGTGAAAGGTTTCACCAGTTAGGGGGCTGCAATGGTGGCTCCACCTCCACATCATGATGGGGCTCCTTCATGCACGGCGCGAGGAAGTCGGTGGGATCATTGTGTCGCATGTTGATGAATCCCGACAGCTTGCAAATTTGGGCATGGTCAACTGAGAACCTTCAGCATGCACTACAACTGATTACTTTTTAGCAACTGTTACTTTTTCCTGGAACTAAAGATAACTTTTACTCGGCTGGACTCCATTTCGTTCCAATGGCAGTGTGTCTCGCCCATATCTAACGTGTTAGATCTACAGTCTTCCCCCTACCACTACTGTAGTGCACTAGCACTACAGTACTACAAACTAAAAGTAAAACTATTATTACTTGCATGTACAAAAGCAAAACAAAAACGCACCTCGCCGGCGCCATGCACGCATGACGCGGACAGTAGCATCGTTGTCATGGTATACGCTTGTCGCATGCCCAGAGGTCAAAAGGTCAGATGAAAGTATTAGTTCAACAACTACAACATCAAGTGGCAAACTCGCGTTAGTTAGCAAGGGAGTAAGTAGAGTCTACGACTCGAGTGTCTGTCTCGTGAGATCTTTATTTCGGAGTAAGCAGCTCATGGCCACGTCGAAAGTTTAGAATGGGGAAGAAACACAACGGCTGAGAGGTGAAGGCTTTCGAATGTAGTCGCTGTGAACAGTGGCAACAGCCCAACATAGTGTCAGCCTGGTAAATAGTAATTAGTATGGCCGACACAACCAAGAATCACCTTGCCCAGCATGCGCATATTGTAGAGGAACAAATGGCTCGCTTTGGAAAAGCCAAGGAGGCGCTAATAAGCAGTCATTCTAACCTGGCCAGTTTGGCTGATTATTGTGACAATCAGTACGAAGAAGCTGCCTCGGATGCCTCCAGGCGAAAAAATTTCCAGACGTCGAAATCTTACGCCGTTCAAGCAATGGGAAGTCTCGCGTACCAAATAAACGAGTCCACTTCATCCGTGCTTGGAGTGTTGGACGTAGTTGACGATACGTGCCAGTCGATCCTATCCGATGCTAGCCAGATCATATTGAATGTAGAGGTCCATCGGGAGAAGGTCGCCAAGCGAGAAGCAAACGGGGTTTGTAAGCCCAAGCTGGCCAAAAAGCGCCAGCAGAAGATTATTCCGCCGAAACATATCGAGGTAGCGGTGTACCCGGGGCACAAGACGCTGAACATGAATTTGCTGGACAAGATCGGGTGCGGGCCGATGGATTTCAGCGTCGTGCAGACTGAGTATGGCCTGACGCCGAACGACTTACTGCTTGGTGGTGATGTTCTCGCAAACGTCCCCGGAAACTCACCAATTCGCAGAGCTAGTGGTCCATCACCGCGGGCCAGGGGCAGTAATAGTGCAACTCGAACCAGGTGGGGTGCCCCTGTGGACACGGTTGGCTTCTTCGAGATGTCTACCCCGCGGCCACCCACAGCATCGGAATCCAAAGAGGACGCTGGAAGCAGACCCGGAAGTGGCCGTAGAGAGACGCTTCCTACATGCTTATCGCCTTCACTGACAACGACGACGCAGCACACGAACCGACCTAGATCCTCTAGCTTGAACGATATCCATGCCATTGCGCCCAGCAACCAGGAAAACATCTGCGCTGATCAGGCGCAAACGGCGCAATACTCCACCTTCGACGAAAGCCTGACTACAGCTGGCTCAAGAAGGGCAACCCTATCTGTAACCTCACAAACAGCAGCTAGCACAAAACTAAGCAAGAGTGAAAATGACATCTATTCAAATTGGCCGCAGGTTCGCAAGGAAAGCCTCCAGCGAATGGAAATCGGGCCGAGACCTCCTCCTCCGATGAACCCGCCTCCCAATGACTCCTACATGAATGTTCAACGTCGCCGCACCTTGACCGAGGAACATTGTCCATTACCACGGCTGCCACCAGCACCATTGAGTAACACAGCGGATTCAACAGACGACGCCATTCAGTACGAGACGGTGATGTACGATACGGTGAAACCGCTCGCCGATGACATGAGCCTTTCTCCATCACCGGCACCGACGCCCGAGGTCACCAAGATCGCAGAAACAGTCAAGCACCCCACCACGGCCTGGCCGACACAAGAGCCCATTGAGTATGATGTACCGATGGCAGACGTGATGAATAACGACGTGCCGTTGCTACCACCCGTCAAAACCGAACGAACTGCCTGCCTGGGCCCAGCAACCGTCTTGTACGACTTCACACCCAGTGCAGCCGATGAGCTCGCCGTCGTGCAGGGCGAAATGGTGACGATTCTCAATATCCTGGAGTCGGACGACCGCTGGTATAACGCACACAACGCTGACGGTGGCCACGGTCTGGTGCCGTGTAACTATGTACAGCTGCATGTGACCAGTAATATTCTGTGAGGACAAGACTCAGCGCGCTGTACGAAACGGTTCTAGTGGAGAATTCGAAGCCTGACGTCAAGTTTCGATACATTGTACATTGTAGTGTACTTTTTTTGTAGTGCCAGTAGTCGTGTAGCCCTTGGCGGGTGTGTTTCAGGCATGTTTGGTGTGTGGATAACTAACTTTTACCAACTAACTACTTGAGCAAGGAAGTACCCACCTATTTATGGCCCATAAGGTTTGTATGGTTCTCCCTTTCGAGCAGAATCTGCCCGGTTATTTTGGAGAATTATCCTCCAAGGGCTACCATGGCTACTGCACTGACGACTAGGTCTTTGAAGACGACTCATTTTTCACTGCTGACGTCAAGTTTCGAGTGAATTCAAACGCAGCAACGGTGGCATGCCCTGCCAAGAACGATGTAGGGATGCACAGATAATGTTATCAGTAGCATCAAGAGTATGTACTCTTGGTAGCATCAAGAGTCCATAACCCCCAGAGACAACGCCACACACATAATTATTATCTCTGTCACGACTCGTTTTCAACATTACGTCATTTTCATGTAGCTGCGCTTGCGGGCCGCCGCAACATTCGCGACATGAAAATGACGTGTTGAAAACGAGTCGTGACAAGACCCTATCGCGCGTTGCACACTCTAGCTCTGGGGGTTGTGGACTCTTGGTAGCATTTAAAGGGGAAGTATACCTGGTACACCCTAAAATCAAATTGTCACCGGTTGTAGTCTTCGGGGTGCTGAGTCGAATGGTCTTGGTCCGAGGAAGCTGAGACGCTCCCTTCCTCCTTTATTCCCAATCAAACTCGCGCACTTCCACCGAAACTGGGTGACTGCGCCCTACTACAACTTACATGTAATTTTACAGCGTTCCTGTCACTCGAGTTGAACCTTTGAGTTGAACCTTGGTGTGAAAATTGTAGCCTGCAGGCACGGTGACCAGTTGACTGGTGTATGCATGAGCACGTGACCGCTTTCTCACCCGTGTTCGATTGGGAATAAGGGCCGAACGCTGCATCGCAGCCTTTTCGGACCAAAACCAGTTGACTCAGTGTCCAGAAGACTACAACATATGGACCAATCGCGGTCATCCGTGCTTTATAAGAACGAAACGGCACTTTTACATTGTTGTAGTGACTTTTTGCATGCAACTCCCCATCTAGTAGGGCGCAGTCACCCAGTTTCGGCGGAAGTGTGCGAGTTCGATTGGGAATAAAGGAGAGAGCGTCTCAGCTTCCTCGGACCAAGACCATTCGACTCAGCGCCCCGAAGACTACATCCGGTGACAATGTGATTTTAGGGTATTTCCCCTCTAACTGTTATCACACTACTCCAAGCTGTATGCATATGCCCGTCGAGCTGGACGAAACCTAGCTGCTGCATCGCATCATCAGACTGTTCTGCAAAGCGCAAACACTTCGACTGTCTAGCCGGTGCATTGACCTATAGGCTAGCGAACAATTTTGTGCACGCTCAGTTCTTGCTGAAAGTCATCGCACTTGTTGCAAAAATGCATTGATCAATTGCGATGCTGAAGTAGCAGCAGCAGCAGCAGCAGCAGCAGCAACAACAGCAGTATCCAGGTGCTTGCACATGTACTGGGCCAAGCCATAACCTACAAGCGTGTATAGCATGCGCAGAGCCTGTGCATGCGTGAATCATACAGTAACAACACCCGATGTACAGAACCAGGGGCATAGCAACAGCAACAGCATCAAACCAGCTACCGGCTGAACATTGAACAAAGGTGTTGCGATACAAAATAAAATTTCAACAACAACAACAAACTCTTATTGGCGATGGTGCCATCGTGAGAATAAAGAATTTAAAAAAACCGTGTATAGCATGCGCAGAGCCTGTCACAGCAACAGCATCAAACCGGCTAACGCCTGAACATTGAACAAAGGTGTTGACCGGCACAAAGGAGGAAAATAGAAGTGCAGACAGGCCTCTGAGGGTAGAACACGTTTCAATTCCAGATGTGAACTAAGCGGGTTAGGGATCTACAGCCCGGTCATCGGAAACTGGTCCACTACATTGCTGAGAACGCACTCAAGGCCACATCAATTTTACCATACAAAAAAAATCGGAACGCGATTTTCAAAAACGAGGAGAGACATGGTGTGATTGAAAAATTGATCTTATCGTTAAAAACAGAAAGAACAGGACAGGGGAACCGACTGCACACCAGTAACCAGCTAATTTCGGTGAAAACGAAAGTTGAAAGAATGAATCGTACGGGCCGTCCAATGGGGCATGTGTAACGAGAACAGCCACTTTAATGCATCTGCTAAGATGTAAATTAAAAAGCTAGGGTGCCACTTTCCAAAGAATGGACTGTAGGCAGTCTAGGAGAGACAGAATAGCTTCAGCAGTGGCTGTATGCTATGTCCATGATAAAGAAAGCAAGACAGAGGTAGAGGTGGTGATTCTCTTGTGGTAGTAGAGTGCGTGCAGCTTGTACTCCTGCCACTGTGGCACGGACTCTGGCACAGCACGGTCAGGTCTTACATGCCTCATACTTGTAATAGCCAGCTGACTGTCGCTTCGACGAAAACACTGAGAGCCTGGCGTACCCATGCGGCGAGGTCCAATCAAGTCCGGAAAAACTTGCTACTACTTGGGCAAGCAGGTCCGGTGGTAGTAGCCACTGCACACATGTCTGCCATAAAAGTACGGGCCGCAGGCTGCAATCTTTCCTGGCGCAGTACGCTGCACGGTGTTCCAGAGCCTGTCGGTCAAGCTGCAGGCCAAAGTTCCCGTCGGAGCATCACTTCGCAGGATTGCATCCAATGAGCGACATGATGTCCACCTTACCATGTAGAAGAGAGATCAGTGCGGTTCTGGGGCTATGCTTCGAGACACGGGTGCTGAGTCAATGCAGAACAAACCTACGCGGAACGCAGAGCAGAGCAGAAAGCAACACAGGCAGCGGAAATCAGAACACGAGGAAGTCACAACACTCCACTAGAGCAAACGATGCAGCTGCTGCGAACATGTTTTTAATTCTGTTTCGATCCACTTGCTCCTTACTCACAAAATCATACACCACCCAAGACGGTCTGTCGGCTACAATTATTTGGAAAATAATAAGAACAGTTTAATCCAAATTTTCGGGCCATGCCCATCTTCAGAATCACTTGCTTCTGTCCAAATACATGTAATTGTCGATTAGTCAAGCAGCGGCAGGAAAGTACATGTGGGACACTAGTGGCTACTGAATACTAAGTAAATATACGGACTTGGATGGAGAGCCAAGGATTAATTTATAGAAAAGAAAGAGTTGTCGGTCAGTGTCGTGCAATGTTATCACATGAGCTGATTGTTCAGTTACTGGTGGTGTTAGTGGACATTATAGCGTAACTTGTAGTTCCTTGGTCCTTTCTCTTTTCTATAAAGTTCATATTATAATATCAGATTTCGGGCAAAGGGCCTATCAGTAGGAGCACTTGGATGTGCGGTGAACGCTGGCTCTCAAGAGATCACACTAGACGTGCCACCACTGTAGATACAGTCTACTCGCGATAAGTCACGCACCCTGTCTTGAAGACAAACATGCGTGACGCAGCGCGAGTGCGCCACTTACACAATATTGTACGTAACGTATACAAAAGTATATTATGCCCTCCGAATTGCAAAAGTGCGCGACTTATCGCGACTGCGTGACTTAAAAGTGTGTGACTTATCGCGAGTAGACTGAACTAATTGGTGACCTGAGCACGTCCCGCGATGCACCTGCTGTTGAGTTGGAGTCAGGTGAGTCCTTGGTGTCTGGTGTATGCGTCTCCTTGTCCAATAAAGTAAATAAAAACAGTAGCGTAATTCACCGGTCTGACCTATATACCAAAAAAACCTAAGGTCAAAGAAGGGAGCTCGACTTGGGCGAACGTGACCACATTCCTGTCAGTGCCAGTAAAGCAGAAATATACCGGTAGTCACTCAACGCTATAATACAGAGCTGCTCAATGAAATCCGATAGTTCTAGTCAAGTTTGTGCTCTGCACCATTTCACAGCCCAATGTTCGCAGGTCTAGGGAACGTGAACTTGACTCATGCGATTGAATGTCATCGAGCAGCACTGTGCATGCGTACATGTGTGTGTGTGTGTGTGTGTGTGTGTGTGTGTGTGTGTGTGTGTGTGTGTGTGTGTGTGTATGTGTGTCCCATATGGTGCAGTGGTATGTGCAGCGATTTCCAATCGATAGGTTGCGGGTTCGATTCCTGACGATTATGGTCACACACGTCTTTCTTCTCTTTCTCAGACTCCTCCTGACTTTTCTTTCATTCTCCTGGGTGGTTACCAACAGCCAGTGCATGCCGGAGTATGTGGTGTGATGCGTGTGCGTAAAAAAAATGAAAAAGACCAAAAAGACCAAAAAGTAGGGATTCACTGGCCAGAAAAAGCCACTTCATAGCTGTGTGGTGTAGACCAGGCTGAATAGTGGCGGCCAATTCTTCAGCCTTGCAAGCTGTTGAATGGTGCAATCCCAGCACAAGCTGCTATGGCTTCTGCTGTAGCATCGCTATCATCGCCTCTGGCGATGGGCGTCCAATGGTCCAATGGTGTGCGTGTGGGTGTGTGTGTGCGTGCAGGATCCTCAGTAACTTCTTACATGATGACAGGATGGAGGTCCGGTGGAAAGTCAGTTTGTTTCTTCTTGGTCATCAGAGTTAGGCCAGCTTTTGAAAAGATCGCCTTCATCTCATCCATTGTTCTATGGCAACAGCAACAATGGCAGAGGCAGCGCAGAAAATGAGAAGAATGCCATAGGCACATACAATAATTCACAAAGGTGGGAGGTTGAGAGCTAGAGAAAGGGAGGGAGAGAGAGAGAGGGAGAGGGAGAGAGAGAGAGAGAGATGAGTAGTTCCCGCTATAGGACAGTAAGGAGTAGCTGGCAATAGGAAACCACACTCCATCTCCAATGTATAGTGTAGTGAACACCAGCATAGAAAATACACACGCATGGTGCTTGTGATAGAGAGAGAGAAAGAATGCAAACTCCGAAAGCAAGCGAACTCTGCCAAATCCAAGTACCAGTACATAAATTATACTGAAAAAAAGGGGAAGATTGACAATGAAAATGGAAGTCATTCACAACAAAAAAGTATGTGTTTTCTTCTCTTTTTTACATTTACATTTACAAAAACATTTACAAAAAAGTATACTCGGAGGGAGTTGTGGTTGCTCGTGAGAGTGCTCAATACACCAAGGTGCAGAGCCTAGTACACACACTTGAGAGGGACGAAAAGCGTTTCTTCTGTAACTCTGAGTTTCACGGTTTTAACCGATCATCAGACAGCAACTTAGCTTGACGTAGAAAATATCCTTAGGTGATACAACAGTCCAGCCAAGTGAGAATGCTGATTTGATGCAGCCAGTGGCACGTTGGATTGTTCCTTACCTGGTCGAACTGCTATCCTGCTCGTCATAATCTCGTTCTCCCCGCGTGACATTGTCTTTGATGGCGATCAGCCCATCTTTTGTCAGGCCAGCCTTGCACCGCTTAAGAAAGTTGACGAAATCGTCTGAACAGCCGCGAATCAACCAACAACCAAACGAAAAGAGGAAAGATGAAGAAGGCCATGCCAGCAACGAAACAGTCACACCCTTCACTTCACAAGACAATGGCATGAAAATTCCAATGTAACAGGGCAAACAGACAAACAGGTAGGCAGACACACATACAGACCGTATTCACGTGCATAAAAGGGCACGCACTTATATTCGAATACAAGGGCACCTCCACAAAAAAAGACGTGAAAAACTCAAGTGCCAAGGCCCAAGAGTGTATTTTGAAGACTCGAGTCCTCATATTGAAAGACATGCCCTTGTATCCGTAACATTCGTTTCCTGGCAAAATGGAAAAACCCCACATTTTTCCCATGTAAGGGCATGCGCTTGTATGTGAGTGAATGCGGTATACACAGCAGCTTAATACGCACACGCACACACATGCATGCACACACACACACACACGTACACACACACACACGTACACACACGCACACACACACACACGCCAGCGTACCGTCGGTCAAGTAGATGATCACCCACTGTATCCAGATAAGATTGTAGCGGCCGGCTGCCGGTGTAAAGTCCTGTAGTAAAGCAAATGTACAAACAAAACAGAACAAGCCAAGCTGCTAAATACAGTAAAAAGCTGTAATGGCGACCACTCGGGTATGGCGACCACTCCACCATGGCGACCACTTTTCCTTGTCACGGACGCATTCACATTCAAAACAGCTCGGATAAGGCGACCACCCACCCGCGACCGCGTTGCACAGTGCTAGTACAATGTAAATGTATGCATTGCATGGTGCACCATGCATGGTAGATCTACACATCAGTGCAGGAAGTGTAGATGTGCATGGTGCATGCATGCACGACCCTTCACAGGTCTGAGGACCCCGGGCACATGTCATGAGTCGTGCTAGAGTAGCATACATGTAGGTGTGTGCACTGGGATGCACTGATCAAAATGATGTATCACATGACTGTGGATATGGTCACGTGACCCACTGAACCTGGATGAGAAGACCACTGGCCACGGCGACCACTTTTTCTCGTCCCTTGAGGGGTCGCCTTAGACAGTTTTCACTGTACTTGCAAAAGTGCTTGATACCACGGGGGCAAAAACAATCGAAATAGGTTCATTGTTGCCTGACGATTGACCGAACGTCGGAGTCACAGCAAAAATGTAGCCTTCCTCCATTGCACGCTTGTGTACACGCAGCAGCACATGGGTAGGCGACGCTGCTGTGATAGCATGCGGTGCACGGCATGTAGAGATGTTCACGCGCACCAAACTCGAGCAAACACCGTGAAGCTAACCAAGCGTGTTGCCCCAGTGTTGCCCGCAGGGTGCGCAGATTTCTGGGACATGGCAAACACGGGACACACTGACGCTGCCGATTACACAGTTGCGCTCGGTGAACTCCGACCCAGAGTGCACATTTGGCGTCCTCATTTTGCATGGCGCTTGACACCCTGGACGTGGCACAAACGCGGCTGGACGTGGCACAAATGCGGCTGGACGTACACATGTACAAATACAATGATGTAATCCGAACTGGCACAGGGCGCCCGTTTCGCACTTCGGGTCGGATTTCACCGAGCGCAACTGCACAAGCCCCTCGAACGGCATAACACATGGTGCGTACCTGTAGGCCACTGCAGAATCGTTCTCCAACGTTCGCCGCCTTGTCACCCTGGCAATGCAGATGCAAAAAACACAAATGGAATTACATGATGTACGCTGGGAATCCATTGCAACCAGCCATACACAAAATGAAGCAACTTCAGCTAGTGTGGGGCTCAACAGGCAGGCGTAAAAGTATGGATATGCACTGCTGCCTGCGGCATACTCTATACTTCTCTCTCTCTCTCTCTCTCTCTCTCTCTCTCTCTCTCTCTCTCTCTCTCTCTCTCTCTCTCTCTCTCTCACACTCACTCTGGCACAAACAGGCTCAAATCCAGGCATGACACCGTTGTTATTGATCTGTTTGCTTGTTTTTTCTCCAGCAGCAGTCATAGGATGGGGGTGGAATACCAAATTCTGTTGAAAACTGTTCCTCAAAATTCCGTCATAGTTTGTGAGCAGGGAAGCAACTTTATGGAAGAGGGTACCATCCTCATTCATAATCACTCATGATCTTCGATCGTTCTGCGAGAAGCAACCTTTTGCTGGTGAGAGGACATCATTGGATGAACATTTGATGAAATACTGATACAGCCTGACAACACCCTCCAAGCAGTCTCCAGGCTACACTGATCACTGGAAATAGAATAAAATCATCCAAGATGGCTTAAAAAATTTTTTTTGGTGATTGGTGTAGCCCAGAGACCGCTTGGAGAGTGTTGTGAAGGTGTGTGGATATAATGGATGGCTACAGCGGAGTCTTTGCATATTGAGAAACGCTTTGATCAAATAAAATAAAGAAAAGCAAAACCATACCAGCCACACTTTACACAGACAAGGACATGCCAAACATGGACATGCCAAACATGGACATGCCAAACATGGACATGCCAAACATGGACATGCCAAACATGGACATGGCACGCGCACACCTCACTCACCATGTAGGTGAACGACCTTTCCAGGAATTCGCCGTTCTGCTCGACCATGTCCACTTTGTCAAAGAGCGGCATCAACAGCAGCTTGCTAACACGACCGATGCCTGCCCCACAGTCTACAACAGCAGTCACAACGCCATAGCTAGTTACAACGAGACAAAGCTGTGTAAATGCTGCATTTTTGAGTTTATCGGCAAGGTGGAGATGAAATTTGAAAATGTTTTATGAAAGGTACAGTTGAACATCGATTATCCGCACATCGACTATCCGACCATTCGATTATCCGTAACAGTTTTTTTGGGCGCACGTGCCGTAGAGTACGCACTGTGCATGTAGTGAGCCATTTGAAAAGTAAAAAGTAAAAAGGTCGTGCGGCTAGTAATAACCACTGAAAGTGTGTGAGTGACAGTTTTTTCTTATCCGGAACATTTGCCTTATCTGAACACCGCCTGACAGTTGTCTGCCCAGAGGTGGTCGGATAATCGATGTTCAACTGTACGTGGAAAAATAACACGGACCTTTCATAAAACATTTTCAAATTTTGTCCAAAAGTAAAAATAAAACTATAGGAAGCTAGAGAAGGCTATTCTCTAGGGATTCACCGAAAAACAAATTTCATCTCCGCTTTGCCGATAAACTCAAAAATGCAGTCAAAATGTAGTCAAAATTACCCCTTAAAACGTTGTACTGCCCAGCCACCTTAAAGCTCGTAGCTGTACTGATAAGGAGGCCTTTATGACCGAAACAGCTTGCTGTCTACAGCATTGGGTAAAAATGATGCCTACAGAACTGCCGGGTACAGAAGATCGAAGGCACCAGCCAGCCAGCCCTTGTAGCCCAGGCCTGTCTTATTTTTTTCAAGTACTGCGGTCTGAATGCAGCTGAGTCAGCGCATACACCAGCATGCTGTGCTCGGTGAACCCCTGGCCTGTTCGTTCTTTGACGCTCGGTTCTTCGGCGCCCGCCAGTACGGCACCGCGGCCAGACTCAGTGACTGTATTCAAAGTTGCCCAATGATTGCACTTTTCCTTGAAGAAACTCAGAGCTACAATAAAAATGACCAACACGGACTTCATCATCATGCTGCCTGAACTCAAGACCAGACACACGAGTAATGTAGGTGCGGAACTGGGCTGAAAATACAAGCTACCACACAAGAAAGATTCGTTTACTGCATCAACTGTTTGAAGTTCACCAGATCCCTCCCCCCCCCCCCCCCCAAAAAAAGAGTAAAATAAAAAAATTCTCGTGTCCGTTCCCAAAGGGAACTCACGACGGCCGCTAACACCCGGTAAACCCAGCGCTGGGTTTACAGGGTTTATCGGGATCCCCCAAAGGTTTCCAGCATAATGCAAGGTTTCCTGCTGCAATGGTCAAAGAAAGAGGAAAGATGGGGGTGGGGTGGGAGGTGTGGCTGGTCTCAATCAGGAACTATGCTGCACTGTCGCCACACACGGTAGATAGCACACATCGACACTGCTCTAACACGTTGTTCCGCACGGGCAGACATACGGGCAGCCAGACAACAAAAATAGCCGGCAAGAAGATCAAGGGAAAGGCCAAACGTAAAGGAAAGCCACAGCTCAAAACACAGTGGGAAATGATGGGATGAAACCGGGTACATCAGTTGAATCGGACTCACCTAGCGCTCTGCCATTAGCACGAGTGCCCTGCACAGACAGGGATAACAATAACAACAGCACTAACTTAGCCACAGCAATCAAATAAATCAGTTGTCAAATAAATCAGTAGGCTATAGCAAAACCTCGCAAAGTGCCTACTCCTGTAAATAGGAAACTGTACCGACAAATTGACTAACCGACGGCTTGTAATACGTCTTCAGCAAGGCCTTGGATGCCTCCACGTCTTTGCGAGAAATAGAGCCAAATCCACCAAGCATGCCATCGACAGTAGCTGGTTGACCCTACGAGAGAGAGAGAGAGAGAGAGAGAGAGAGAGAGAGAGAGAGAGAGAGAGAGAGAGAGAGAGAGAGAGAGAGAGAGAGAGAGAGAGAGAGAGAGAGGGAGGGAGAGAGAGAGAGAGAGAGAGAGAGAGAGAGAGAGAGAGAGAGAGAGAGAGAGAGAGAGAGAGAGAGAGAGAGAGAGAGAGAGAGAGAGAGAGAGAGAGAGAGAGAGAGAGAGAGAGACAGAGAGAGAGACAGACAGACAGACAGAGAGACAGAGACAGACAGAGAGAGAGAGACAGAGGCAGAGACAGAAAGACAGGGAAAGAGAGAGACCAAAAATCAAAGTCAAAACATTGCCTGTCATTCTTCACTGAAATCGACTCCATCAACTCCAAGGTGAAGATCACGTGAAACACATGAAAAGGATTTTATCAAGAGTCCATAACCCCAAGAGTGTGCAACTCTGTACATGGGGGTCCGCGCGGCGGAATTCCAACATTACGGCAAAAATGACGTACACGTTCGTTGCGCATATACTACTCCCTGGTTCCAAGCACCGCGGAATGCGGAGTTTTGTACAGCTGTGCCTCAGCGGCATGACGTAATGTTGGAATTCCGCCGCGCAGTGGGCCTACAGCAGCCAGACCCCAGTTGCACACTCTTGAGGTTACGGACTCTTGATTTTATCGTTCATCTTGCAGGATGTTAGAACAGCTGATAATGGTGAGATGATGAAAAGACGCAAGCAACATAAATACAGAGACGCTGCAACGTTATGGGTCATCGGCCCAGGAAGCGGCGGCAGAAGAATGTTGGCGCCGATGTGAAAAAAAACAATGCCAGATCATGGACTGGTATGCCCAGGATGGCAGAGGGTCAAGAACGGTGCGCAACACCATTCATCCCCTTGAGCCCGTCGCCCTCGACTACAACTGCGGATGTGGCCAGAGATATCGCCGTCGTCAGCACTTAGACTCGTCACACCAGAGTCAGCTCGTGACTTGAACACTATCGGGCCCTTCAGGACCTGTTAGCATCCCGTAAGGGCATACATGCACTGTCGTGTGTGTGTGTGTGTATGTGCTTCTGTACATGTGCGCGCGCGCGTGTGCATGTGTGTACGTATGCATTGTGCACCGTATTTTCTGGAATTGACCGGGTTTGGTTTTTTTTTACCGCCTGTTTGAAATAAGCGCGCACGCGCGTGTGTGTGTGCATGTGGGTGTGTCGAGATTGGTCTGTGAAAAGTTCAACCCATACACCTTTGTCACCAATGAAAATCCAAGAGGTATCCAAAATATTTCTTCACTGTATTCCTCAAATTTACAAAAATATAAACCTACTTCTCCATTTCACTGAGGCACGAAAATAGAGAAAGGAGGTAAGATTGTCACGTATAGCACGTTCTGCTCCTTACCTTCCAGTATTCATCAGCGTGGCTGTAGTTGATTTTAGCATCGATGTCTTCTTCCGGAGACGCCATACTCAACTGCTGCTATCTTCAGGACCTATTCGATCGTGTGCTCCAAGAAGGTTTAGGAAAGCAAACGCTGACGGGCATAGGTAAAAAGCCAACTGGTAACCTCTCCAACATGAACAGAACTATCGGTATGTCTATGAATCTGGATAACACAATTCACAAGTGTAGATCCTACAACTTACAAAATACAAGGCTGAACGAAGCTGACCGTTTCATTCAAAATTAGTTAGACAAAACTCTTCAAATCAAGCCTTTTCAAACGATCAAGGTAGCCGAGGCACGTGTTTCCTTGCAGGACTGTTGAACTAAAGTCAGACATGAACATTTTTGTCTAGAGGTCTACAATGGTCTAGTCATGTACTTGTCATGATTCTTTTCTATTAATTTTTATTCTTTTTACCAGGCGTGCACCATATCGATCCCCTCATCAAAATGGGTGCCTTATTATTTTCTTTTTTTTTCTCTTCTTTTTCTGTTTATTCTTTTTACCAGGCGTGGGCCATCGATGCATCCCCGGCCCCGGGCCTGGACTATCAAAATGGGTGCCTTATTATTTTTCTGAGTGAAAGTGATGACGTCAAAACGGCCAGGGAGTAAAAAAAAAAAAAAAAATCAAGGCTCCTCATCTGGGCCTTATCAGGCCGGGAGTCGTAAAAATAATGTATTTTACGACTCCCTGCTCCTCATGATCTGCCGGCCTGGGACCATGGTTACTCATGACTGTGAGTAGTGACCATGGTAACAGTGCAGCTAGCTTTACTGAGTCTGTACGCACGGCGCACGCTTCTCGAAAAAAAAGCGATCCCAGCTGATGCCTCCTTCGTGCCCGTTGTGCTCTCTGCCTCTGGTGGCTATGGCAAGCATGCCAATGCTCTTTTCACGCGGATCGCCTCTCTCCTGGCTGAGAAGAGTAAGGAGCCATACGGGCAGGTTATCTCCTTGCTGCGCTGCCGCCTTGGGTTTGCCCTGGTGCGTTGTGGTGCTATGTGCCTGCGTGGCTCAAGGAGCATGTTTGCTCCTGCCATGCCTGAGTCCCCTGCTGTGCTAGTGGCGGCGGAGGCACGCATCCAGTGAACCTGCACAGTGCAGTGATCCTACTGAGTGACAGACTCTGTAAATACTGTATCTGGTGATTCGTTTTTTCCCGTATGTAACTGGGAGAAAAGAAGCCCCTTTGTTGAACGATATTGGCGATGTGAATGAGCTTCTCCGAAAGGTTGAGGAAGAAACTGAAACTTTTATTGCGGAGTCGCTCACGAAGGAGATCTTGGACGAGCCGGATGAGCCTCAACCAAAGCGCGCAATGCTCAGCAACCTGCAGGACCCACGCAATTTGCCGAGGTTTCCGATCAAGACGTGGGAAAAATCCGTAGGAATACATAGAACAGCCAGAATGCCCAATGCCCAGTCGACAATGTCAATGGCACCACGAGAAAAAAAGCACTATGGACTACTACGAAAAACTGTACCAGAAAACAATCACAAACCACAATGCAGGTGTGTCTGTCATGTACGTGTGTCTGTCATGTACATGTACGTATCTCTTTATTTGGCTTGGGTGCACACGGGAAACACGTTCCAGTCACTCATACTCGGCCAGTACCGCTGTTCATCCAGCCCTTGCCGCTATCGCGGCGCGAGCTGGATTCCGCGGTACTGCCCTCGTACTCGTGCAGGAACCTGTACATGTGTTGATTCTTCACAACATGTGTTATTTTGCCCGTACAAGAGGCTCAGCATGCGAAAAATCCCAGCTGTACGAGGTGATTCGTCATTATTTAACACGAAAGTAAAATAGCCTTCCGTAGGGTTCGAGGTGTGAATCTTTCCATTTCGTCCTCTAAAAATGTAATACTGATGTCCTTGGATTGCACTGTTGGGATTCTCATTCACATAATCCTTGGTGTTGGGAAGCAGGTGGCAGTTGAAAAATGGCAATTTTTCCGCATATTATTTGTTGTGGTCATTTCTTAACATCATGGTAAAATAGGCCTTAGCAGCACAATTTCAAGTCAGTTTTCAATAGAAGGAGACCCTACGTCTCCAAGATGGTCCAGCAAGACTGGATCAAGATCATGTTCATCCAAATACAAGCCATTCAAGCTTACATAGCAACAGGTGTATCACCCTGATTTCATGTGTAATTGTGATCAACATCTGTTAGCAAATTCAGTGATTGCCAATGTTTGGCCATTACTAGGGCCAACACACCGACATTCCTCCTTCCCAGGCGTCGTTTCCAGTATGTAACTATCATATGCTTCCTATTCAGCTAAATATGTTGTCACTCGAGGTTGAAACCAGCGGCTATGACTCTCTTATACTCTATTTTACCGTAAACATCGCGCACATGCAGACTGAAAGCTCTTGCAATGTCACTTCCTGAAGGAATATCAGTCTCAATTTTGGAGGCGAACTTGACAGAACATTGGCAATGGCAATGGCAAAAAGAAATTTGAAGTGACTTTTTGCAGGTGCTTGCAATGAGATATTTTACCGATTTGTTAAGAAATGACTCAATGTTAAAAAATTACGAATCACCTCGTACCGTGTGCTACATTTGTACATGCAGCCGTTGGAGGGTTCCATCAGAAACAAGTTCATCCCCGCTCTCTTAGGTGGCAGAACCGTCAACGATGATGAGCGACAGCTTCTGGCTCTGCCTTGTCGACATGGTGGTCTGGGGCTCATCACACCTGCCTCCCTCGGGGCCCAGTACGCCCACTCCAAGACCATCGTTGGCCCCCTGGTGCGGCGCATTCAGCAGCAGACTGCCACGCTTGGCGATGCCCTGCAGGAAGTGCGGAAGAACAAGCAGCTGTTGAGGGCGAAGGCAAAGACATCACTCCAAGCCGAGGCCGTCGCTCTGCATTCTGCCGCACCTCCAGAGGTTCAACGTACCATCGACCTTGCTTCGGAGCGGGGGGGGGGGGGGGGGGGGGCATCCAGCTGGCTCACCTGCCGGCCCCTAAAGGCCCACGGCTTCACCCTCACGAAGGCTGAGTTCCGCGATGCTGTGCACCTCCGGTATGGCTGGCACCCAGTACGACTGCCAACATCATGTTCCTGTGGACAGCAGTTCACCGTCAGCCATGCCCTCTCCTGCCCGTTAGGCGGTTTCCCAACCCTCCGCCACAACGAGGTACGCGATGTGACAGCTCGCCTTGCGAAGCGTGTTGGCCACCAGGTGGCTATTGAGCCACATTTGCAGCCACTCACTGGAGAGCAGCTCCGGTACCGTACTGCTGTGGGCGACGACCAAGCCCGCCTTGACGTGGTGGCTAGTGGTATTTGGGGAGGGCGGTTTGAGCGCACCTACATTGATGTCCGGGTGTTTAACCCTTTTGCGTCCTCGAATCGCCTCAACTCACTTGCTGCTAGCTACACCTGTCACGAAAAAGCCAAGCGCCGTGCCTATGAGCAGAGAATCCGAGAAGTGGAACACTCCAGCTTTGTTCCCGCCGTGTTCTCCACTACGGGAGGCATGGGGAAATCTGCCACCTCTCTGTACAAGAGGATAGCGTCCCTCATCGCCGACAAGACCGGAGAGGCCTACAGTGCCGTGATGGCTTCGATCCGGTGTCAAATCAGCTTTGCCTTGGTCCGATCCAGTGTGATGTGCCTGAGGGGTGCTAGGCGGCTCTATGCACCGGTCTTTGCCGCGGACTCAGCTGCTCTTGTTGTTGCCGAGGCGGCTATCCCCTGTTGAGGTTGATGGCCGTGCTCATTTATACCATGTTCTCATACCACTAGATATGGCATGTTCTCCATTTCTTTCCTTGGCGCTGATAGGTGGAATTCTCTGCCTGTCTCGTGTCGTCAGGTTGAGCATCTATCCGTTTTTGTTTCGCTCTGTAAAGAGCACTTAGGGTTCCCTGTAACAAGACGGCAACGTCTGTAGGGCCTTCCCTATCAAAATAATAAATTCTACTACTACTACTACTACTCATAATTTCTGCTTTTCGTGTCATTCTTGCTTCTTGTGTTTGTTTGTTCTCCTCTAGTTCTCTTATGTTCGCGGAGAAGGCGGAGAGCCGGAACACAGAACCTCTTATTTTTAATTTTTTTTAATTACTTACTTTTTTTACCAGGCGTGGGCCATCCCCTGATCATAGCCTATAGGTACTAGGTGCCAAACATTTTTAGTATAATTACTCAATCAATAAAAAATAAAAAAATAAAAAAAGCTGTACTGTGTGGAGCTGTACGTACAAAAGTGTAGTGTAGCTGTGTAGTGTACACTGTACTAGTGACAGTAGTAGACCCAGGTGCTCGAAGTCCGTACATGGTATCCTAAGTTCGTACGCCCATAATTTCATGTTCTGTTAGGCTGTGTTTACATGAAGCGTTTCAACCCGGGTTGAGTTCGACCCGGGTCAGATTTCAACCCGCCATGTGCACAAAGTGAATGGCGCGTTTACATGACGCATTGCGCTTGACCCGGGTTGAAATTTCGCCCCGGGTTGATTTCAACCCTCCCCCCAAGGGGAGGGTTGAAATCAACCCGGGTCAAGAAAATCGTACAAACGTACTTCTGTGCGTATCTCGCGCCAGGTTTGAACAGCACTGCAGATGCAAATTTCGCGCGAACGGATTCACGTGACCATACAGGACTGTAGAAGTGGACTTTTGGCGGCATATCAGTATTTGACCCGGGTCAACTGTCTTCATGTAAACGCTCACCTCTTTTGTCTATCGTACAGACTTTCAACCCGGGCTGAACTCGACCCGGGTTGAAATTTCTCATGTAAACACAGCCTTATTGTATTCGACTCAAATATTTTATGGAGGGGACAGTGTGGTATGTTCTCCTCGCGTACCAATTTTCAGGGATCTACGATAAACAGAAGCCCCATACCACGCGACTGGGTTTTCGAGTGTCCTTACGAAATACAAATTGGGTTACATTTCATGCAAAAATCAACTCTGCCAAGACCGATTTCGAACGGACACAGCGTCAAACAGACCTTCACTCAATCATCAAGAGCCAGCTTAGAGCTGACAATGGCCAGAGGAGAAGAATTTACAGAGAACCACCAATCCTTGCAGAAAGGTTGACACTCCTGGCATCTCCACCACTGTTTTCCCGCGGTTTTCACAGCGCAGCTGCTTCTTCTCTGACCCCACTAAAAACAGCTTGCATTTCGGCAACAAACCACGCTTTTGCAAGAAATACTAGTGGAGGCACATGCCAAACATATCCCTTCGGTGCTTTCGTCGTAACCGAGGGATTGCAAGTTAGCAATTAGCAGAAATATGTGTGTATTTCGAGTCACCTCTGATCTGTACGGACTTAGAGTACCCTCTGCGACACCAAAATTTGATATGAAAAATCAGCGAACTCCAGAGAAACAGATCGGATCGAAAGATGGCCTGGTTCAGTCGAGCCTGGCCTCAGAACAAACTTGGACGAGATACCTTCCATCCACGAGCAGGATTCTGGCAAGTGATCATTGCTAGTGTGAGTTTCAGCTCGGCAAACACACACTGTAAAAGTGTACGGACTTCGAGCACCTGGGTCTACCAGGTCTACTAGTGGTGTGCGAAAGAGCGCGCGACAAGCGCACGCGGCGCTTGATTAGTATTTTTGCCATTTTTTGTAGCGCACGCCATAATGTGCAGGGAAATGACGAAAAACCGTTTACAACCGTTCACCGTTGTAGAACATTCACAAGCGGCTCAAAGCTTTGTGGCTAGTTGTGTGTCTTGAACTGTAGTACTAGTACATGTAGTAGTACACTGTAGTAGTAGAATTTATTATTTCGATAGGGAAGGCCCTACAGACGTTGCCGTCTTGTTACAGGGAACCCTAAGTGCTCTTTACAGAGCGAGACAAAAACGGATAGATGCTCAACCTGACGACACGAGACAGGCAGAGAATTCCACCTATCAGCGCCAAGGAAAGAAACAGAGAACATGCCATATCTAGTGGTAGCTGCGGGCAAAGAAAGTGAAGAGAATGATTGCCCTCTAGTGCGCCTCTCGGTGCAAGTAGCAGCCGACTGGAGGGTGAACATTGAGGAAAGAAGAGGACTTGTAAGCTGATGAATACAGCGGAAAACAAAAATAAAAAGCCTCAAGTTGAGACGAGATTCGAGGGAGTATAACTTAGCGTGCCGCAAAACAAAGACAGTCGGGGTACGGCGAGGGAGACCAAAAACCTGTTTCATGCTGATATGACTTAAAGTAACAAGGCGAGAGTATAAATATGGTGTAAGACAGTGAGCATACGAGTTGCTGGCGTATTCAATAGTGGATTGGATGAGGGATAAATAAAATATTCGCTTAGTTGTGTGGTCTACTGTAGGGCGGCAGCGGCGGAATGCTCCTATCTTCTTATAAACAGATGACTGTCTTCATCGATCTCTTCCCATCACCATGCAGGCATGCCCCAAACATTCACCCTTGCCTTGGCTTCTGAAGTACATGCAAGTAGTTAAACTAAGTTACTTATACATGTATAAGTTCTAATTACAGTGAAACCTCGTTAGGAAGAACACTCGGATAAGACAAATGTTTGCCTAAGAAGAACTAGTATTCGTAACTGTATTGGATAAAACCCTGTGCATAATAATAATAATAATAATAATAATTCTCGTCTACGTTCCAAAGGGAACTCACGACAATGGAGTGACAAAAAGCACCACGGCAGAGAGAGAAAAGAGAAGATATGATATTTGACGAAAACAATCACGGTGTAGATTTCACATGACTTCCAATACACCACATCAGCAAAGCTCTTTCTTAGAAAAATAAAAAATAAGATAAATGAAATGAAATCATTGGTCATCACAGTTAGTCATGTGCGTCCACACCAAAATCACAGCCGGTCATGTGTGTTCACACCACCGCAGAACAAATGTTACTCCACTTCTGCCGGTCAACTGCACAACTTCTTAGGGTTTCGAGGTGCCGGCTCGTCTTCAATGCGACGGCGGTGAACTTGACGTCTTGCTGGAGGGTGGTGACTAAACAGGACCTTGGAGCTCCCCTCCTGTGCCTCACAGCGTCCTCCATTGATGCGTATGCAATCATTGCTTGATTGCCTGGTGTCGATGATGACTGGCGTAGGATGTGTCCAAGCAAAGAACCCTGTGCATTCGCTGGGTAAAACATATGGATAAGAAGAAACTCCCGTTATTGCGAACAAAATATCATCGGTCCCTTGATGTTCGTCCTAAAGAGGTTTGACTGTATTCTGTCTACCAATACCATGTACAGTGTACCATGCCTGGCATCCATGCAAGAGTACATAACCCCCAGTACACATGGTATACTACTAGTACAGGGTTATGTACTCTTGATGCGATGGTTTTCATGTACTCTTGGTAAAATAAATAAATGTGTGAGTTTGTACGGGGTAAGTGTACATCGTCAAATAAGGGTATACGACAAGAAGCGGAAGCGCAACGTGTGACATTTGCCCTGTTCCATGGATCCAGTTCTGTGGGTTTGGGATCAGTGCAGTTCAGGCAAAGGGCCAAAGGCACGTGTACTCAGCATGGAACCGTACGCAAATATGCACATGGCACACTTATTTAGTGTACTCTCTCGTACTATACTGCAAACGCCATCCAACCAAATTCTCCTCGATGTTCAGATTTGCTTCGTCAGGGCCAACAAGCAAGAAGAAGCCGAAGCCGAAGCCCGAAAGGAAATCCTCTCCTCTGCATGATTCAGTAAAAATATGCTTGTAGTCTTTAGATCTCAAATTCTGTGAGCCGAGCCAGCAGTGGTCTTGTACTAGTCTTGTTTTGGACTTTGTGTTACACGTTTGGCATAGCAGGTCCAGTCTGTTGCCCTCAGTGGCCTGCTGACCTTTTTGTCACCTTCGAAATATGGAAGAATCGTCGGAGACTCGGACGTCGCTGACCCTGGACAAAGGGGGCAATCAGTCAGAGTATAGTGGTCTGATCAAGACCTCCACGTCCCACGACGCTATCCAAAGTAAGTAACAATTAGTTGACGTCCTCGTGTAGGCTTGTAACCATGGTAACCAGGGACTAGTAAAATACACCCTGCTTGTAACAACATGTGTCATGTAGCTGTACATAGGTCGGATCGGTCCACAAGCTGGCTTCGTATGGTCACCAACAGTCCTATTTTATGCGGTGTTACGGTCATGTAGCTTTCAAAGCTGACTTGAAAACGGCTCCGGGGCAGCTGTGAGAGCCAAGTGTTGAAGACTCGTATAAACTAGCAGTGGAAAGACTACAATAGAGAGGTTCCGCACTACGTAAAGTTGAGCAACTTTACGTTAGTGGGCGGGGAAAACCCGTGAATTCGCGAGTTTGCACTCCACTTACGGAAAGTTGTCTACGTAGAGTACGTAGATAGGGCTCTGATAACGTAGCTGGTCCGTAAGTGGATTGGGGTACAAATTTATGACTCTCCCCAGGTCGATCTGGTCGTACACTGCCGCGTTCGGAGTTGCCAAGGGCAGCTACGTGATTTGAAAACTCCGTATGGCGGAACACAGATGCGCATGCAGTTTACGTAAGACTTTCTGTAGATCGACTACGTTTTTTACTAATGTAATTACGTTATGCGGAACCTCTCTATTGTCATGTAAACATGCATGTCTACAATACCGTAGAATCCCGCGGATAAGCCCATGGGCTTATCTGTTTCACAAGGACATTTCGGTGGGCTTGTACGAGGGCATGGGCTTATACGCGGACATGGGCTTATACGCCGACACCAAAATTGTGCATCAAGGAAGTGAGAAGTACATTGCTGAAAACCACTGTGCAAACAAAAACAACCGATGATTGTGTTGACATGTACAAAAAAAACTACATATACATGATATGACCAAGAGCCCATGATATATGGACTCTTGGTATGACCTAGGTCCATGGGCTTGTACAATGAAGCTTTGTGATGCTCGAACTAACCCTGGGCTTATGCGCGAGCATGGGCTTATACGCGGGTGGGCTTATCCGCGGGATTCTACGGTATAACACAGGTATACATCAAACCTTCTGATCTGTTTCTTGAACTACTGCTAAAAATACCACCAGTCTTTTTGGAAACCGTAGAACACACTCACACTCAATATACAGTAGAACTCCGATTATCCGGACGTCAACTACCGTAAAGTCTTGTATAAAAGCCGCGGCTTCTATGACTTTCTTGGTGAAATTTTGCAGGCTTCTATATGAGACAGGCTTCTATACAAGACCGGTATTTCTAAGCACATGCTGTAGGTCAACACTAAAACCAGGCGTATGTGTGATTTGATGGGCCCAAAATTGCGGCTTCTATTCGAGGACGGCCTCTATTCAAGTGCGGCTTTTATACAAGACTTTACGGTATCTGGGTGATCGATTATCTGGAGCGGCGAGTCGGGCTGGACCAAAAAAAAAGTAGAAGTTTTTGCGAGGCTTTTGCTGATTTTCCCCACTCGGAGCACTATGTATGTCAGGCTATGCACAAGATATACTACAATGGGTCGCAGTCGCCGTGGGTTCAAAATGTATAACCATGGCGTCATTTTGAGGAGCTGGACCAGGAGTGCACTTGGTTCCTGTTGTACTGCCAAAGAGAATGAAACATGGTTATATTGGTTGACACCATGTCATCCATGAATTGAGAATAATAATAATAATAATAATAATGCGGGAATATGCATGCTTTTAGATACACAAGAGAGAGAGATTGGAAGCTGTGTCGCAACTCTGAGTTTCACGTATTACTACGATCATCAGGCAACTGATGGCTCCAAAACGGGCAGCCTGAACATAAGGGGGGGGGGGGGGGGGCAAGGTGAGAAATACTGAGGGGAATCATACGAGTCAGGTGCAGGCGAGAAGTTGCTAAATCTTTAAACTTCTGGCTATGCAGCGGCAGCAGCAGTTCCGGTGGGTATTGAGCACAGACAGTGGAGCACGCTACATGTACTTGATTACATGTTTTTGATAGATATGCGGCTGCTCCCATTCTTCTCATCCGAACCCCCTGGACTCAGCTGGAGACAGCTCGCACCCCGAGGCCGGTCGAACCCCCTGGAGACAGCCCACGCCCCGAGGCCGGGTGAACCCCTTGGAGACAGCCCGAGGCCGGGTGAACCCCCTGGAGACCGGCAGCCGGCGCCCCGAGGCCGGGTGAGCCCCCTGGAGACAGCCCGCGCCCGAGGCCGGGTAAACCCCCTAGAGACAGGTCGCGCCCCGAGGCCGGTTGAACCCCCTGGAGACATCCCGCGCCCCGAGGCCGGGTGAACCCCCTGGAGGCAGCCCGCGCCCCGAGGCCGGGTGAACCCCCTGGAGACAGCCCGCGCCCCGAGGCCGGGTGAACTCCCTGGAGACAGCCCGCGTCCCGAGGCCGGGTGAACTCCCTGGAGACAGCATGAGGCCGGGTGAACCCCTGGAGACAGCCCGCGCCCCGAGGCCGGGTGAACTCCCTTGAGACAGCCCGCGCCCGAGGCCGGGTGAACCCCCTGGAGACAGCTTGCGCCCCGAGGCCGGTTGAACCCCCTGGAGACATCCCGCGCCCCTAGGCCGGATGAACTCCCTGGAGGCAGCCCGCGCCCCGAAGCCAGGTGAACCCCCTGGAGACAGCCCACGCCCCGAGGCCGGGTGAACCCCTTGGAGACAGCCCGAGGCCGGGTGAACCCCCTGGAGACAGCCCGCGCCCCGGGGCCGGGTGAACTCCTTGGAGACAGCCCGCGCCCCGAGGCCGGGTGAACTCCCTGGAGACAGCATGAGGCCTGGTGAACCCCCTAGAAACAGCCCGCGCCCCGAGGCCGGGTGAACTCCCTGGAGACAGCATGAGGCCTGGTGAACCCCCTGGAAACAGCCCGCGCCCCGAGGCCGGGTGAACCCCCTGGAGACAGCCCGCGCCCCGAGGCCGGGTGAACTCCCTTGAGACAGCCCGCGCCCCGAGGCTGGGTGAACTCCCTGGAGACAGCCCGCGCCCCGAGGCTGGGTGAACCCCCTGGAGACAGCCCGCGCCCCGAGGCCGGGTGAACCCCCTGGAGACAGCCCGCGCCCCGAGGCTGGGTGAACTCCCTGGAGACAGCCCGCGCCCCGAGGTCGGGTGAACTCCCTTGAGACAGCCCGCGCCCCGAGGCCGGGTGAACCCCCTGGAGACAGCCCGCGCCCCGAGGCCGGGTGAACTCCCTTGCTCAAGGGACCTTCAAAACCTGGTCTCTGTTACCAGGTGGTCTCCTTACCCAGGGTCATTTGACTGGAAATAGCATTCCCTGGTCCGAGTTGCAGGGGTCTTCTCGGACACGTGGTCGCCTTGAACGGTTTTACCTACTGAAGACTTGGCAACTTCACGCCTGCACCTGACTCTTGCGCTATGATACGCGTCGCCTATGACACCCCTCAGAATTTCCCACCTTGCTCCCCCTGATGTTCTGGCTGCCCGTTTTGGACCCATCAGTTGCCTGATGATCGTAGTAATACGTGAAACTCAGAGTTGTAACAAAGCTTCCAAACTCTTTCTCTGGTGTTGTTTACCTACTCTATATAGAAATCGTCCCCCGTGCTCATGAATTCACACGAAAGTCATGCATACATCCCATGCCCAAATATATAGACGCGTGTGCTTGTGAACGGACGACACAAGAACTGGAGCCAACAGGTCATGCGGCAGACCATATCTTCCACGTTCTCTTTTTCCTCCTTTTCGGCTGTTTCACATGGTGCGAGTCACGGTGCGGAAATAGGCGGCTAAATCTAGCAAAGTCCGTGGGTATTTGACGGTCACGATGTCGAGTTGAAATCAGTCTGGCGGGAGTCCTGACTCCGGACAGCACTGATAGTGGAGTTGCACACTCTTGGAGGTCACAGTGTTGTACTCATGCATGGCACGCCATTATCTGGTCAGCCCGCTGGGGCTTTTAAAGCATCAGGCGCAGGGGCAGACTCTGTCTGGGTGTTGACATTTGAAAACCCATGGCGCGAATGTGAAATTAAAATGATTTGCCAATAACACAGGCACCCTCGTGATTCCAGTGCTTCAAAAGTATACTAGAGAACTCGTGGCATTCCTGACCCTTGCCAGAGCCATAGGATGTTATCGTTCCTGTGCGTCGATATTGCTTCTAAAGTTCCAAAGCAATCGTATGGGTATGATTGTAGATATACGCTGAACACCAACATTGCTTTGTTTGGCACGGTGACCTATAGAGATTCTCACTCTGTCTGCGGGTGACATTGTTCCTGCTGTGTTCTTTTCAGATCCATCAGCTTTCACCAAGGTGGCGAAGAAAAGTCGGCAGAGTGTACCGGCATCCTCGCATTTCGTCTTCTCACAAAGCTCTCCCTACCGGGAAATGGTGGTGGAGAGTCTTACTGAAGAGGGGGACGAGGCTAGTAAAATGGACCGGAACGCCATCGGCAGCCCACTAACCAGAGCGGCTGTGTGCAACGGCAGTGACGGAAAGCTGATCTCGTCTGGCTCGGATAGCGCAGGTGTCTCGATGCACGCCATCCCGTCCAGTTTCAATCTTCTCAGCGACGTCGACACGTCCTCTTTTGAGAATATCACCATGGCAACCAGCACACAGACCACGTGCGAGATACTAGGCAGCGACACGGCAGCACATACAACAACGGCACAAGCGCCAGCCGGCTCTCATAGTGCACGGCAGAATCCAGGCAGGCCAGATGAGACGCACTCTCCTGCCGACGAGACTGGCTTCCGACCCATCTCTCCGCTGAGGAGCGAGCCAAGCTTACATCAGCCCTCCAGTACAGCATCTCAGCTAGAGGTTACGCGTGCCTTTCCACCATCGGCTGTGCCCATTACTGGCAATACGGTCGATGAAAGCAGGACGGACTCTGCTGGCGATAGGCACATGCAAACATCGGATTGTCTACCTCTAGGTGTTGGTGGTGGGCAGGGAGATGACATTACGCTGGTGGATACTGGCTCCATGTACATACCGCACTCTCGGCGTGGCTCCTACTCTGGTGAAACCGAAGTGTTGCCTAGCCGCAGAACGTCGGGTGATAAGTCTACGCACACTCATGAGCAGTTTCAGCTTAGACAGGACAACGGCTCATGTCTAAACTCCCTTGGCGTTACTAATGTGCGGGACAGCAGAGCGTCATCTATCGATGCCAATTTCGACCTCCGGAGCGTATGCAGTGGTCACGTTGCATGTGATACCGCCTGCCCCCCAAGCCAGTCCAGTGACCAGGATTCAGACTTTGCATCTTCGCCCAATCTCTCTCTCCCACATCTCAATCGTCTTCGGAAGGAGGCGAATAGAGTGGATAGCGTCTCTTCCACTGACCGTTTGACACCCAATCAGTCCGCTCAGTCAGCAGGAAAAGGCAAGAAGAAAGCCGGCACGTCGAGCCGCTGGGCGTGGCTAGTGTGCGCCGCTTGCTTTGTGATCTATTGCGTGGCACACGGCACTCGTTTTGCCTCCGGTCTCGTCTACACTGAGCTCATCAAGCCCCCGTGTACTGGCAATGAAACTGACCCATCCATGTGCGGCGGCTTCGGTGCTTCAGCTTCTGCCACAGGTATGTGCAATGTCGATTTCCTCAACTGTTCATGCCGTGTGTGTGTTCTCTCTAGTTCTGCAGGGTGATGGTGATCAGCTGAGCGTAACCATGACTCTTTCTAGTCCCGTTGCCATAGCATTAGACCACAATTATGATGCTGATTTGTTGTCAGGTGGCTGCGAATGAGCATGCTTTGGGAATTTGAAAGGAAAGCAGCGCACTGATCAGTGTTGTGGTTGCATGTGTAATGATTCGAGTACCTTGAAGGTTACTTTGACACAAAATCTCCACCCAATGACAACATCCAATGCAAGCATTCCTTCTCTTGTGTTTGTACACCATGTGTACCGGCATGTTCATGTGGAAACAAGATGATTATGTACATAAATATACAGGTCCTCCCTCGTTAGTAGATAATCTCTGGGCCATCGAAAAAGTAATCTTATAACGAGACTTATCTTGTAACAGGACTTGCAGCTAAAGGTGAAATAGGCACTACTTCATACTTACCGGGGCTACCCTCGATACAACATAAATTATCAATGCTTCAACTCGTTATAAGATAATTGAAAATCTCCAACATAGCTCTTCCTTGGATGCAAAAGATCGTCCATATTCACGAATACATAGATATAATACGTTTCGTCTTTCTGCTTTATCCTACGTGTTTTGGTCTTGGTCCTGCATGGTCAATATTATCTTATACTGAGGGTTTGGCACTCCAGGGACCTGGGCAAAGGGTCGTTATAACGAATTTTATGTACTAACGAATTATGTTGTAACCGGACCTGTAAACAGTTGTAGATCACATTTCGCCAGGGGATTTCAGATTTCTATTTACTGTTAAACGGGGTTTATGTACTAACCGGACTCGTTATAATGAGGGAGGACCTGTACTTCATATCGTGTGTGTGTGTGTGTGTGTGTGTGTGTGTGCGTGCATGTGTGTGCGCGCGCGCGCGTGTGTGTGCATGTGTGTATGTGTATGTGTTTGTGTGTGTGTGTGTGTGTGTGTGTGTGTGTATGTGTGTATATGTGTATGTGTTTCAGCATGGATCTTCAGTCTCTACAGTGGTATAATCCAGGGCCTGGCACCGCTCAGCAGTCGCTTGATCCGTAACTACGGCTGCCAGTTCACCGCCTTCCTGGGCGCAGTGGCGCTCGGTCTTGCGTACTTGACAAGTTCCTATGTCCCAGCACTCTTCGGTCTGTTCCTCACGTACGGAGTGCTGGGCGGCGTTGGAGCGTGTCTCCTCTACAACGCCTGCATTTTAATGATCGGCAGGTGAGTTGGCCATCTTCTTTGCTTTGTCTGTCATGACTGCTGTGCTGTTCTACTGTACCAGGATGGGTAGAAACAAACCAACATCATGTTCAGTTGAGTATTGATTATCAGATGACCTCTCTTCTTGTCTACCTTGACTGCTGTGCTGTTGTACTGTACCTGTCCTGGATGGATGGATAGAAACAAACTGACACCATGTTCAGTTGAGTACAGTCAACTGAGCGTATAACGACACTCGGCGGGGCATCACAAAAGTGTCCTCATGCCCGAAGTCTCATTGTATGTATTACAGTTAGATGTTACCGTTTGCTCTGGGCATGGACATTCTGTCGTTATATTCGCAGCCGTTATTAGCGAAGGTGACTGTATTGAATATTTGACCACTTCTGGTAAGGGATTGCAAAGCAGGTGTTAGGATACGGCCAATTTTACGGCCAAGGAAAATCATCCAACATACGGGTATCTTCGCGTGCACACACACACGCGCGCGCACACACACACACACACGCAGGCGCGTGCACCGTATGAGTTTTTTGGTGTCTGGAAACCACCTTTTTTCGGGCAATCTTGCCAAAGGAAAAGCGTGCCTACTGGATTGGTTATCCTGCATACGTGTCGATCGACGGGCAGTTTACAGTACAGTGACTATGTCCTTATTTCGAAGTGAGAGAGATAGTTGCTTTGCATGCAGTTCAAAATACATTATTCTCTCTTTCTTCAGTGGAGAGTAGCGACAGAGAGATCGATTTCTAGCTCTGGTTCGCTCCTGGATTGGCGATGACGTTGAAGAAATCCGTTCTGTCTCGAAATTTGAGTCAAGCACGCGCGGAGCAAGTCAGTTCAAGGATATGATTGACGATATCTCCTTCCAAACTGTTGACTCAAATCAAGATCTCCACAGCCTTTCGTTCTCGCTCATGTGCGCAGCAGAGATGTTCGTGAAAAACGTTGTCGACTGGAAGACGTAAACATGTGCGTCCATGATCCACTTGCGCTGCTTCAGAACGAAGCGCTGCTCCGGCCGCGACTCAAGGACGCGGGGCTTCGCTTTTCTTCCGCGAGCTTCCATCGAAGCAAGGCCCATAACTCTTTATTGAAATCATGTGGAACATTGCCAATACATGCTGAAAACTTCGTCATAAGAACAGAAAGAAAGAGCCGTCGAATGTAAGCAGTGTTTTGATGAAACAAACATGCCTGGAGTGGATTAGTGAAGTACCATAGACATAGTGTTATACTAGTCTTACAGACTGTAGTGTAGCCTGGGCGGCTAGGCCTATCAAACTCTTACGTATTATGACAAACATGTATACGAGTTTGCACCCTCTTTTCAAATGCTTTTTGAAGTGCTGGTATGTAAAAGGTAACCCATTTTATCCTGTTACCGGTTATACATGTACCAACATTTCCATGCAACATCGTCCCCTCCCTCCATTCCTCATTACTCTTATTTCTGTCCTTTCTACCCCTGTACCTGGTTCCCTCTCAGACGCGTTTGTGCCGGCATGATCTGATGAAAGCAGTCGGACGAGCCCCGCATCTCATCAGCACCAGTGTTCGCTGGTGCCCTGCACCCCTGATCTTGAGTCCCCCCCCCCCCCCTCCCTCCTCCCTAGCCGGCTGCCCTCGCCGTTAATAGGCGTTATCTCCGACGGGATGTTCGGGGGATGCGCATGTGCACAAAATTCATACATTATACAATGGGTCTCCAGAAAAGAATTTACCAACTCTAGAAACCCCCCTTTCAAGACTCGGTGCACGCCACTGCACACACACGCACACGCACACACACACACACAGACACACACACACACACACACACACACACACACACACACACACACACACACACACACACACACACACACACACACACACACAGGTATCTATTCAGTCAACTGTGGACCGATAGCTATGTCGACCTTGTTGAGTCTCATCTGAGCGGGACTCGGAGTGCCGGGAAGACAAAACTGCACTGAAGTCTAATGAACAACGATTTGTTTTCATTAAATCTTCTCAAAGCATCAAAGTCAAAGTGCTCTAACTGCAAGAGACACCGTGAGCTGTGCACAAAGGCAGATAGCTTTGACGTAAACCAGACAGACTGCTAATCAAGACACGTCAACAGTGCACATCAATTCAGTCAGAAACGCATCAGCAGAAACTGACTCCGGATGGTCAATTGGTCGTGTGATCTTGTGTCATTTCCTCCTGCCCTCCCTTCTCTTTCTTCCTCCCTCTCTCTCAACTCTCGATTGCTGCAGCTATTTCAAGAAGAACCGTGCAACAGCCAACGGCATGGCACTGTCCGGTGCAGGCTTTGGCGGAGTGGTCATCACGTTTGTGGCGCAGACCGTCCAGTCGCAATCTGGCTGGCGATCGTTCTACCGCTACATGTCCATCACCACCCTACTGATGCTGCTTGCTACTATGGTGCTGAGTCCGGCTAGCAGCAAACGCGGTCGCCTGTATGTGCGTCGGCACAGCACCGTAACTCCGCATGACGTCAAGCGTGCATTTGCTGGTCGTAAGAGCAAAGTACCTGCTGGCACGTTGCGGAGTGGACGAATGTCGCCTGACGCTGCCCTGAAGACGATCAAGGTGAGCGTTGAGACGAAGATCATGGCAATGCGCAGCCGCATGCGTCCTCGCCTGTTTGTGCTGATGATCATGGCGTTTCTCTTCTACGACGTCGTCTCCTTCATTCCGTTCTTCCTGATGGTAAGTTATCATGATGGCTACACGCACACATGTGTGTATATTACACACGCATGTGCACTCGCACACGCACACACACACACACACACACACACACACACACACACACACACACACACACACACATACATACACACACACTCGTGCACACACACACACACACTCGCACACACACTTGCACACACACACACACACACACACACACACACACACACACACACACACACACACACACCATACACACACACACACACACACCATGTACCACACACAATACAATAACTTATGCCCATCCGGAGATGATTGCAGGTCCCGAAGGGACCAACAGTGTTCAAGTCACAAGCAGAATCGGGCGTGGCGAGTCAAGTCCTGGCAACGGCGATAGCACTTTCCACAAGTGCAAACGAAGTCTAAGGTGACGGGCTCGGTCGGAGGAATGGTGCTGCATGCTGATCTCCACTCTCTGCGATCCTGGGCGAGGTCGTACCAGTCCACTATCTGGTAGTCCTTCATGTCGGACACAACATTTTCCCCCACCACACACACACACACACACACAACACACACACACACACACACACACACACACACACACACACACACACACACACACACACACAGACTAAATTTTGACAATCAATAGCAATAGTGCTGCTTCTTTCCGACCATCTTCTGTTTGTTGTTGTTTTCACAGCCGGACATTGAGGGCTTGCAGCCAGTGACGGTAACATACATAATGTGTGCGTCTCTTGGTGTTGGTTCTGTACTCATGGGAGTTATCAGCAGTAAGGTCAAACTCAACCCCTGTCTTCTGCAGGTAAGTGTGTGTTTTGTAGGTCAGCTCACGTATACAACAGTCCCTCACACACACACACACACACACACACACACACACACACACACACACACACACACACACACACACACACACACACACACACACACACACACACACACACACACACACACACACACACACACACTCACTCTCTCTCTCTCTCTCTCTCTCTCTCTCTCTCTCTCTCTCTCTCTCTCTCTCCAGTTTGCACATATTGTCATTCCTGCTGCACTCAGTTATGAGTCGAGGTCATTCCAATGACATCATCATGTGTGTCAGCTGACTCAGCTTCTAATAATTATGGTTACTCAAATAACATCATCAGTTTGCACAAATAATATCTAACTCAAGAAGCTCAGGAGCCACTGAAAATTTCGACGAGGTTTATCGAACCATAGCTCTTCAAATTTAGTACAATGGTTATATGAACAGCAGGAAACAAGTCCTTGTATCCAGTTTTTATGTTTTCAGAGTAAGTAAACGAGAGAGCTTGGAAGCTCAGGGCCCTACGCTATGCTTTTTTGCCTTGATGACCTGGACAAAAAAAAGCAGAGGGATGTTATAATTTTTTCAATTCTCCTATTTTATTTCAAGGTATAACCTGGGATTCTAACCCGCACAATCGCTCTACATTCATTCGCCGATACACTTCGCATTCCTACTGATTCTTCCAAGTTGCTTCACGTTATGATCATGCGCTATTTAGGATCGGTGACACACCGCCAAACCGATAATTTCTTTACTCAATTTCAATCCATCTTGCAACGCTAATCTATGCCCGACTTCATGCTTCTCGTCTCTGGGGACTTCAACGCTCGTTGCTCGGAATGGTATGGATCGACCACAGATGCGGTTCGTCATCAACTGCTTTGTCTGCTTCAAATGCTCTCCCTATCACAGCTCGTTACCTTTCCCACACATTACTCCCAACACAGTGGTCATGCCAGTGCGTTAGACCTGGATATAACCAACCACCCACTAATTCTTTCTAACATCTCAACTGCCGCACCGCTGGGTACCTCCGACCACGACATTGTCCTCGCCAGACTCCAATTACAAGGTCAGCGAGACACACGAAGTCTTGCCATCCCTGCCCAACCAAGTCAGTTCAACTTTTCTTCATTCGATACATCCCTCAGAGCCTGCAAAGAGTGGTCCCTCGTTGGCCAGTGCTTATCGACTATCGATTGGTTCAGCGAGCTCCAGATTCCTCTTGGAACTGAACCATATACCATATCATATACCATATATTGTGGGCAGCTGTTTGTGGCCAGCTATGCTTGATGGTACGGTACGGGACAGATACGGTACCAGCCAATATTGTGGCCAGCTGTTATGTACAAACCTGTAGAGCCTTTGTAGTCACAGATACGGGACAGACACGGGACAGTTACGGGATTGCTCCAGGCGTGACACAAACAAACAAACAAACACCAAATTAAAGCTGTGTGGACCCTGGCTAGCGCCAGACGTTACTGAAGTAACGTCTTCTGCATAGCTACGGGAATAAAGTAAATTATCGTATCCGTTCCCGAAGGGAACTCACGACGGCCGCTAACACCCGATAAACCCTAGCGGCAGATGCATTGTAGTGGCAAAAAAATTCACGGTTCGTAGCCGAGTGTTCCGCATCCGTAGGAACGCCACCACCCTCTGGGATCAAGGCGCAGATGTAGCTCCTAAGCGGTGGGAGGTGAGTAGATCAGACCCACCACAAATTGGTGAAAGACCGAAATCCCATTCACTGCATCCATGAGTAGTGACAAATTGACCATTGTGACGACTTTTAAGAGTTGTGTTAGCATTGAATATGGTGACTTTTAGTCTGCCCTGCTCTGCCCTGCTATGCACCATTCATTACAAATGCCCGTATGTGCACTGACTTTTTTGTGCTTGCATTTCGTGGGTTCTTGTTTGTTTGTGTGTGTGTGTGTGTGTGTGTGTGTGTGTGTGTGTGTGTGTGTGTGTGCGTGTGTGCGTGTGTGTGTACATATCTGTATTCAGTCCATGAGTTTCGGCGCAATAGGTCTTGTGTGCGCCATCCCGGTCGTATCCAATGCTATCAACCACTACTACGCATTCTCCGTGATATACGGTCTGTTCAATGGTGCAGCGTGGTCGTTGTTCGTGCCGACAATGGTGGTAATCTTGGGCTCGGCTCACATCCGCCGTTACATTGGCTTCATTTTCTTCATCGGCATGCTGGGTACAGTGGCCGGACCACCTGCAGCAGGTACGCATACTTGCATATACTGTGTACCTCTGAGCTGCATTTCCATGACAACAGGGCATACTTGCATGTACATTCGTGGCAAAAGAAGGATCCACGAGCGGGATTCGAACCCAGCACCTCTGTCTTTCCCGGACAGTGTCCTACAAATTAGGTGGCCGGGATCACACTGAACGGGAAGGGTGACTCTTACCATTGGCCATCTCCAGTGAGTCAACCATCCAAACAAAAGATCGAGAACAGGATAATAGATTCATTTCAGCTCGTTTTTAGAAAAGGATCTCTCGGCATGCCAGCAAGGCCATGTGCACCTTTAAGCACTGCCTGTGAACGTGAGAGAGGCTTCGAATCCTTGGGTACTGTATACAGGTGACAGGTGATGTGCATATTGAATGTAACTGGTTATTTGACAGTAAATTACCCCCCCCCCCCCCCGGTAGTGCCGGCTCTTGGGGTCCTCCGAGACAGGTGCGGCTTATCGTACTGAAAATCAACAAATATTCGGCGCTTATTTCTGGCTGTTTTTGGCCTGGTCATGTTTGGCCGGAAGTTTGTTGCGGCCGAAATTTGTTCTGCAAGGTTCAGTTTGACGGTGTATACAGGCGGCAGCAGTACAGGCTGAAAATTTGATGTGGCCGAAATGGGTTTTTTTAGCCCTGGGAGGCCGAAATTTGAATGGGCCGAACATTTGTCGACTTGCAGTCTGTGAATTAGTCCCCGGGATAGGCTTGATTGTATGTGTCATTGTGAACCTGTGTACTGCTAACGTCGTACCGCTGTTCAATGTTGTATTGCGTGCATTTCAGGTGCTGTCTTGGACTCCACCAAGTCGCACCGTAACGTCTTCCTATTGACCATGTCGTTCCTGATTGCCGGCTCTATCCTGCTGCTGCTCGACTACCTGGGACTGCGTTGGCAAGTGCAGCACGAGGAAAACCTGATCCACCGCAGTCAGCTGGGTGCCATGATGCGTGGCCTGGCCAAGGAGACGACGGAGCGCAATTCCGGCCCCTCCAGCTCCCCGCCGACGCGTCGCACCGGAAAGCCGCCGCTGCTGTCACGCCAGACCACCATGATGCGCCTGGACAACATCCGGCGCGACGCAATACAGCTGCTCGACATGCCCTTCTTCAGTGACATATACGATAGCCCGGCAGACGGACCCATGGAGGAGTTCTCCATGGAAACGTTCCGCAGGAGAAGCCAGCGCAAAACCTTCAGCATGCGCATGTCACGTAAGGGGAAAGGCGACAGGAATGCAGTGTTGATTGAGGACGACGACCGGAACAGCATGCGAAGTCCGACCTACATAGACTCATTGCCTGAGCGACTGGACTGACATTCCTCCCGCCATCAGTGTGGCTGCTGCTACTGCTGCTGCTGCTGCATCAGCTCTAGTGTAGTGCCCCATCCCGGGATAAAACAGTGGACATAAAATCATCGTGTGCATGCATGTGCTTGTCGGACGTCTTGCCGCCTGCTGCACAAGCTCCGGTTTGACACCACTAGCCAGCCCCTGCTCTACATCAGCCAATGGGAAACGCGCGCGCGCGCGCGTGTGTGTGTGTGTGTGTGTATGCGTGTGTGTATGTGTGCGTGTGTGTATGTGTGCGTGTGTGTTAGGACTGGCTTGGCTGTCCCCTCCACAGGCACCTGTGATAGTGTTGACACGGCCGTGCAATGGCAATTGAACCCGTAGATACACGACGCTGTGGACGCATGGTCAACAGCTAAACCTACTACAGCCACAGGTCGTGATTATGCAACAGCTGAGTGATGGTGACTGTCGCTGTGAGCTATGTGCAGTCACGCTCTTTCGTGTGCCAGTTCGGTGACGAGTAAGATGAGCCGTGACACTGCTATGTTTCGTCACAACGTAGTAATCACCTGCTATGGACCCAGTGCAGCATACCAGTCTCTTTACAGGCAGCGCATGGTTCTTTTTTCTTTTTTTGTAACTATAAATCAGCCTCTTGTATGGGCAAAACAAAAAAGATAGTGCATGGTTCATTCTTGGTCTCTCGTGTGTCTACAATGTACAAGCTGGCCTTGCCCTGTGCACGGCCCGTGTAAGCAAAGAGCCGCCCTCAGTTGGGTTGTAGTACATCAGGGCCTGAGTAGCAGAATTGCACTGCTCCCCGGTTTGCAGTGGAGAATTTTCACTTGGCACATGATGTTTAGTGAGTGTGCACATTTAGCTTTTTTTGTTTGTTTTATTTAAACCAAGAGTACATAACGGTTTTTTATTTTTTTAATTATTTTTTTACGGTTTCTGTACTCCTGCTATATAACTAGTAACACTGCCTGATCTTAACTGTTACTTGGTTTCTAAACCTTTCGACAGCCCTGCCTGTCGTTCATTCGACAGCCCTGCCTGTCGTTCATTCGACAGCCCTGCCTGTCGTTCATGTTCTTTTCTTCTTTTTCTGCCTAACCTTCTAACTTGTCCAACATCACACGTTTAGCTTTTTATCCGATGTGACCCGCTATGGAATCGCTGATGCGGTGGTTGCCATTACCGTGCTTGCCATCCGCGGACTACTGTGCTAGCTGGCTTTCAAATTCGCCTCTCCGCAGTGCACTCTTGTTGAGATACACGAAAGTAATCCTTCCTACTCTGAGTTTGTTAATCCCACCAGATCACTTTCCGCATTGGATTCTGACTTTCATCTTTCTAATAAGTTGGCTCTCCACTTTCTGCCCTTTTTCAGTTTTTACCTTTTCAAAGATTGAAACATGTACGTACTTTGAAGTACTGGAGTACATTCGTAGATACATGGGTGTAGACGCCTGCAAAATTTCCCCCACTGAAAAGTCGTATAAGCCGCGGCCTGGCGGACATCATCAGCTCTTATTTTACCAGTTATAATACAGTTCTGTCCGCAGATTGAGTATTAGTTATACGAATATAGAGTTGCAGACTCAAACAGTGTTTTGGAGAAAGAACTTTGATTTCTTCACCCCCTCCCCGGTGCATCTGTCATTCTGATAACCCACAAAGCCGGGACTTGAATCCTACCGACATCTGCTGAGCTCAACACTGACAGTGACAACAGGTCGCACAGTGCAGGGAAGTGCGTATTAGAGAGCTGGTCTATACACTGACTCCCATGGCAGCACTGTGCCAAATCCGTACGGCTGCACCGTGGCCTATAGGCCCTCTTCCGCATTAAAAGGTCTGTGATGGTCACGACATAGTCACTAGCTACTTGCATGTACCGCTACTCATGTGCAAGTGTGCTCAACATAGTAGCTGACATCAGGATTTTCCCTTTCCGGCTCAGTATTCCCTTGCAATCAAAGCGTCATGGTTTGTTACCAATCATATCAGCATGAATTTCTTCACGTTCAGTTCCGCGGGCAGTGTCGGTCGCACGCACACGCATCTTTCTTCTCCCTAACTCAATACCGCACTTCTCAAACCCGTAGTTCCACTTTCATTCTCTTGCTGGGTGGTTAAAACAACAGTATGCAGGACCATGCGGTGTGTCTAGGTGTCATAACAGAAAAGAAAAACAAAAGAGATCAAAGGGAAATTCAAAAATAGGGATTCACTGGCTAGAAATACAGTGTAAGCGCAATGTTCAAACTGGTGCAATCGTGACAAGGATAAAACACATGACCCTGAATTCAGGCTAAGCTTTGCAGCTGTCACTAGTGAGTGTTATAAACTTATAGCACAGCGTGGTAATCCCAGTGCACTGCGCCTAACATATCTTTGCCCACTATCATCGCTTCAGCGACTGGTATGTATCTAGGTTACCAAAAAGTACTACATGACTACAAGCAATGTAAAACAAAACATGCCATGAAGGTTAAAAAAAAAAAAGAGCACTAATGGGAGCCTAGGTAAAAAGAGGATAGTCAGACTCAAATATGGAAAAAATGTCTGGCATAAGTCCAAAAAGGATGAGTTTCATGTATCTGAATACAATTCGCAACGAGGAAAAGTTGAAAGCGAGCTAGCAGCGTGCACCCAGTCTGGCTTGTGTGCACCATAACACAAACCATGCATGCTTCTATAGTGAATAGGCTAGGCTGACGGAGCGGTCCAGACCCTCTCCACCACTCGCACGGTTCATGTTGGCGTGCTTCTTCTCAGGAATTTTAATGTTTGATACTACTTGTTGTACTGTCTTTAAGTGGTCTTGGTAAAAAAGAAGAAGAAAAAAAGTGGCCATATGGCACACAGCTAAAAAAGATTCAAGAACAGGTTGGAGAGAGAAACAAAAACAAAGAAAGAAAGAAAGATCATGACGGACAGACAGGGCTGTCAAAAGGTTCAGCAAAAAATGACAGCTAGGATCACTGGGTACATGCTTATAGGTGACATGTACAGCAAAATGCTGCGTTCGAACATTCACTATGCCTGAGATGCTGAGTGTGAGGTTGCCACTATGAAACAACCATATCACTGTGCTGGTGATTCATACGCTGTGACGAAGCCCTAGGGCACGCTTTGCCCTGTCGATCGCTGCGGCAGATTATCCACGCAGAGGAGTATTGCACATACGGCTCACAACGATAACCACTGTTAGCTTTATCTGTTGCAAGTGTGTCCACAGCTTCCATGTGTCTCTATGGGTTCGATTGCCATTGCACGGCTGTGGGGAAAGCCAAGCCAGTCCTTAGACACACACACACACACACACACACACACACACACACACACACACACACACACATACACACACGCGCGCACACACACGCACACACACACACACGCACGCACGTACGCGCGCACACACACACGCTCGCGCGCGCGCGCGCGCTTTTCCCAAATTGGTTGACGTAGAGCGGAGGCTAGCTAGTGATGTCAAACTACAGCTTGTGCACTAGACGGCAAGAAGTCCAATACACACATGCATGTACACGACGATTGTTTATCCACTGCTATCCACATAGACTAGGCACTAGAGCCGAAGCAAACCATCAGCCACACGGATAGCCACCAAGGATGAATGTCAGTCCACTCAATCAGACAACGAGTCTGTGAAAACCGCGTCCATGAAGGCTGCATTACTTATGCCGTTTGGTTCGTCATCCAGCATCCCGTTCCAGTCAGAGTCCGCTTGCACTTTCTGCGAGACGAGAGTGCCAAAGCTCTTGCGCTCGCCTCTACTGCGGAACGCATCCATCGAGAATTCCTCCATAGGTCCGTCCGCTGGGCTATCATACATGGCGTCGAAGAAGGGCATGTCGAGCAGCTGCATAGCGTCACGCCGGATGTTTTGCAGGTGCATCAGTGTGCTCTGGCGGTGAAGCATCGGTGGGCGGCCGGGGCGGCGTACAGGTGGCGAGTCGCCCAGCACGGCCACGCGGTCCGTCGTCTCCTTAGCCAAGCCTCGCATCATGGCGCCTAGCTGACTGCGGTGGATCAGGTTCTGCTCGTGCTGCGCTTGCCAGCGCAGTCCCAGGTAGTCCAGCAGCAGTAGACCAGAGCCGGCGATCAGAAACGCCATGGTTAGCAGGAAGACGTGCCGGTAGGACTCGGTGTGGTCCAGGATAGCACCTGGATTGCACACAGCAACATCATGGCACCGCGGTAGCAAGCCAGCAGTGACAATTTCAATTTCACAATCACACATACAATAAAGCCTGGCCAAAGGATCACCCCGATACGGTAAGCGGCACCTGTCTCAGGGGACCCGTAGAACCAGGACTAAACAGTGCGATCTATAGTCCAGTAATCTGCAATATTCACATCACCTGTACACTGGCACCAAGGATTTAAAGCCTCTCTCACCGACAAGCTGAAATGAATTTATTATTCCCGTAGCTATGCAGGAGACGTTACTTCAGTAACGTCTGGCGCTAGCCAGGGTCCATACAGCTTTAATTTCGTGTTTGTTTGTTGGTTTGCTTGTGTCACGCCTGGCGCTATCCCGTATCTGTCCCGTACCGTACCATCAACAGAATGAGTATGTATAGTAGCATTATGTACAGCATTAAAGCGGTCAGCACCAAGAAATGAGAGACTGTAGAGGCCTGGCATATACCGGTATGTATGCCAAGTGTATAGGGGGAATGCACGCAGGGCGATAGTGCAGTAACGTCTGGCGCTAGCTAGCCAGGGTCCACAAAAACTTCCTCCGTTAACAAAAACTTCGTGATGGATTTTGATGGATATGAAAACGCTTAGAACAGGTCAAGAACAGTTTGTATCGACTGCAAACGACTGGACGAAGGTAGTTGTTGTTGATTTTTATTTTATTTCGCAAGGCCAAACGGGCAATGGTGCCCAATTCTATGGAAGCGAATTGAGTTCAGCTCATGTACAGCGTCTTTACAAGAGAAACTATTGGCAGAATGAGCAGAGAGTTCAGTTTGCCTCGCTTTCGCTCGACTAAAAGCATTGCGTAGGGCCCTGAGCTTCCAAGCTCTCTCGTCCTGTTCACCAGCATTCGTTTGGGAGGGTTGATTCACTGGCGATGACCAACGGTGTGAGTCACCCTTCCCTTTGCAGCCAGTTCTGATTGTAAACTCTGGTCTGTGCACTGTCGCCATGGACATACTGATCAGAGATACAATGTGTTGCAAAAGAAGGATCCACGAGCGGGATTCGAACCCAGTATGAATGTGTTTCCGGGACAGCGCCCCTACCGATTAACCTACCGGGGATCATACACACACACCCGTGGGTCCATCTTGCTACACCTGCTCACCTGCCCAGCAGGCTTTGTCCTCACGTCGCACCTACTCGCGCGCGCGCGCGCGCGCGCGGGGGAGTACGATTGGTCATGGGTGCGTGCCATTGCCAGGCGCCAGTGTTGCAAAAGAAGGATCCACGAGCGGGATTCGAACCCAGCACCAATGTCTTTCCGGGACAGTGCCCCTACCGATTAGGCTACCGGGGATCACACACACCCGTGGCTCCTTCTTACTATGCTAGTATGCCCTGTTGTCATAGAGGTGCTGCTCAGAGGTACACAGTACATGCAAGGATGCCGTGTTGCCATGGAAATGCAGCTCAGAGGTACACAGTACATGCAAGTATGCCCTGTTGCCATGGAAATGCAGCTGAGAGGTACACAGTACATGCAAGTATGCGTACCTGCTGCAGGTGGTCCGGCCACTGTACCCAGCATGCCGATGAAGAAAATGAAGCCAATGTAACGGCGGATGTGAGCCGAGCCCAAGATTACCACCATTGTCGGCACGAACAACGACCACGCTGCACCATTGAACAGACCGTAGATCCCGGAGAAGACAAAGTAGCCGTCTCTGGAACTCGATGCGACCGGGATCACACACACAAGACCCATAGCGCCGAAGCTCATTGCCTGAATCCAAAAAATACACACACACGCACACGCACGCACGCGCGCACACACACACACACACACACACACACACACACACACGCACCTACATTCATCCATTCGTAAACTGAGGGTAGCAGGAATGACAATGGGTGCAAACTGGAGTGAGTGTACGGGAGTGAGTGTACATGCGTGCGTGTGTGTGATGACCTACAAAGCACACACTTACCTGCAGAAGACAGGGGTTGAGTTTGACCTTACTGCTGATAACTCCCATGAGTACAGAACCAACACCAAGAGACGCACACATTATGTATGTTACCGTCACTGGCTGCAAGCCATCAATGTCCGGCTGTGACAACGACAACAAACAGAAGATGGCCGGAGAGAAACCTGAACTACTGCTCTTGGTTTCGGAATGGAGTCTGTGTGATCCACGGGTGCATCAGGAAATTTACAATTCACGCAGAAACAGCAGTCTGCTGTTCTGTATGAAGAAATTGTTTTTAAGCACAGGGTGTTGCTATTCACGCTCACCTAGACCACTTGATCTTTTCTGTATGTGTAACTCCTGGCAAGTAAATCGAGGCAATGCAGGTCCTTGGTCACTTGTTGTTGTTGTTGCAAGGTACTACACCATTGTGTTCCTCCGTTGGCACATGCATTCATTCACCCCCCCCCCCCCCCCACACACACACATATTCGTCGGTGCGCATGCAAGCAGCCCCCCCCCCTCCCCCCCCCCCCCCCCCCCCCCCGCTCACACACGTACCCATGCATGCTCATGCATACAGCCCCTCCCCCCCCCCCCCCTCACACACACACGTACCCATGCATGCTCATGCATACAGCCCCCCCCCCCCCCTCACACACACATGTTCACCAGGTTGACTCACCATCAGGAAGAACGGTATGAAGGAGACGACGTCGTAGAAGAGAAACGCCATGATCATCAGCGCAAACAAGCGCGGACGCATGCGACTGCGCATCGCCGTGATCTTCATTTCAACGGAGACCTTGATAGACTTCAGGGCAGCGTCCGGCGACACTCGGCCACTCAGCATGCCTCCCAGTTGTATTTTGCTCTTCTTAGCGCCAAGCGGACGCTTTTCATTTCTCACTAGGGTGGTGCTGTGCCGACGCACATACAGGCGACCACGTTTGCTGTTAGCCGGACTCAGCGCCATAGTGGCAAGCAGCATCAGTAGGGTGGTGATGGACATGTAGCGGTAGAATGATCGCCAGCCGGATTGCGACTGGACGGTCTGCGCCACAAACGTGATGACCACTCCGCCAAAGCCTGCACCGGACAGTGCCATGCCGTTGGCTGTTGCACGGTTCTTCTTGAAATAGCTGCGGCAATCGAGAGTTGAGAACATAAGAACAGAACTCAGCTAGGAGCACATGTCAATGTTAGTTAGCAGGAGAATGTGTGTGTGTATGTGTGCGTGCGTGCGTGCGACTGTGCGTGCGTGCGTCCGTGCGCGCGTGTTGTGTGTGTGTGCGCGCATGGGTGCGTGGGTGCGTGCGTGCGTGCCGGGCGGGCGGGCGTGCGGGCGGGCGTGCGTGCATGCACGCGCGTGTTGTGTGTGTGTGTGCGTGCGTGCGTGCGAGCGTGCGTGGGTGCGTGCGTGTGTGTGTGTGTGTGAGAGAGAGAGAGAGAGCAATTTGAACATGATGCCTTGAGAAGATGTTCATCTTGTTCTTTACTAGACTTTACTGCAATGAATTTACCGTCTTCATTGCAATGAATTTACACTGTATCTTCCAGTTACTCTGATCTCCTCCAATGAGACCCAACAAGGTCGAAATAGCTGGCTGTCCGGAGTTGACTGAATTGATAATCGCGTGTGATCTCGAATGGCGTACATTTTAAGTAATTATGTTGGATGAATTCCCATGCAGTCCCAAAAAGAGAGGTCAGACAATCAATACTCAACTGAACATGATGTTGGTTTGTTTCTACCCATCCAGGTACAGTAGAACAGCACAACAGTCATGACAGACAATGCATAGAAGATGGCCAACTCACCTGCCGATCATTAAAATGCAGGCGTTGTAGAGGAGACACGCTCCAACACCGCCCAGCACTCCGTACGTGAGGAACAGACCGAAGAGTGCTGGGACATAGGAACTTGTCAAGTACGCAAGACCGAGCGCCACTGCGCCCAGGAAGGCGGTGAACTGGCAGCCATAGTTACGGATCAAGCGACTGCTGAGCGGTGCCAGGCCCTGGATTATACCACTGTAGAGACTGAAGATCCATGCTGAAACACATACACATATACACACATACACATACACACACACACACACACACATACACACACACACACACACACACACACACACACACACATGTACACGCGTGTACACGCGTACAGACAGACATACCTTTGACCTTTGACCTTTGACGCCCATCGCCGGAGGCGATGATAGCGATGCTACATCAGAAGCCATAGCCACTTGTGCTGGGATTGCACCATGGTTACGATCAGCTGATCACCATCACCCTGCAGAATGAGAACACACACACACACACACACACACACACACACACACACACACACACACACACACACACACACACACACACACACGCACGCACGGCATGAACAGTTGAGGAAATTGACATTGCACATACCTGTGGCAGAAGCTGAAGCACCGAAGCCGCCGCACATGGATGGGTCAGTTTCATTACCAGTACACGGGGGCTTGATGAGCTCACTGTAGACGAGACCGGAGGCGAAACGAGTGCCGTGTGCCACACAATAGATCACAAAGCAAGCGGCGCACACTAGCCACGCCCAGCGGTTCGACGTGCCGGATTTCTTCTTGCTTTTGCCTGCTGATTGAGGGCGCTGGTTGCCTGTCAAACGATCTGTGGAGGAGACGGCCTCCACCCCAGCATCTTGCCTCCGAAGCCGATTGAGGCATGGGTGGTTTAGATTTGGTGAAGGTGGAAGATCTGAATCCTGGTCACTGGAGTGACTTGGGAGGCAGACGGCGTCGCATGGCACATGCCCGCTGCATTGGCTCTCTGAATGGAGGTCAAAATTGGCGCCAATCGATGACGTCTTGCTGTCCCGCAAGTTATTAATGCCAAGTGAGTTTTGACATGAGCCGTTGTCCTGAGACTGCTGATGAATGTGCATAGACTTATCACCCGACGTTCTACGGCTAGGCAACACCTCGGTTTCACCAGAGTAGGAGCCACGCCGAGAGTGCGGTATATACATGGAGCCAGTCTCAACCAGCGTGATGTCATCTCCCTGCCCTCCACCACCATTACCTATAGCTAGATAATCCAATGCCGGTGTGTGCCTATCGCCAGCAGAGTCCGTCGTGCTCTCACCCACGGTGTTGCCAGTGATGGCAACCGACGGGAGAGCGAAGGCACAGGTACCCTGAGGGCGAGTCACGCCACTAGCAGAGGATTGCTGTAGTAAGCTTGGCTCGCTCTTCAACGGAGAGATGGGTCGGAAGCCAGTCTCGTCGGCAGGCGGGCGCCTCTCGTCGGACTTGCCTTGGTTCTGTCGTGCACTATGAGAGCCGCCTGGTGCTTGTGCAGTGGTATGTTCTGGCTTGCGGCAATCAGGCATGCGTGGCACATTCTCGTTGGGAACCATCTCCCAAATGGTCTGAGTACTTGTCGCCAGTGCTACATGATCAAACGAGGACGTATCGACGTCGCCGAGAAGATTGAAGCTCGATGGGACGACGTGCATCGAGCTAACTGTACTGTCCGAGGCGGTCGAGGTCACCATTGCTTTACCGCCGTCGCACACAGCTGCTCTGGGTGGTGTGCCATCCCTGGTGGTTGCGCCCACTCTGGTGGTCTCGTCCTCCTCTTCGTCACTGAGATCTTCTACGACTGTGTCCCGGTTGGGAGATTTCTGTGAGAAGACACTGCGTGAAGAGGCTGGTACAGTCTGTCGGCTTTTCTTCGCTACCTTGGTGAAAGCTGATGGAGCTGTAAAACAAAAACAAAACAAACAAAAAAAACAACGGGCTCAATGTCAGCCTGGAGTGAGAACCTCTATGGGCCACTGTGGTAAGCAAGGCAATCCTTGTTTCTTAGCGTGTATATACAAAACATATGCATGCGATTGCTTTGCAATTGCTTTGCAAATTTAGAAGCAATAACCAGCCACAGGAACGATGCCATCCCATGGCTCTGGGAACGGGCGCCTCTGTTTTTTTGTGAACTGTCGTTCTTGTCACGTCCAACTCAGGCTTCTGCGTGACTGGCATTCTTCTAACACAACACCCATACTACGCAGCTAGCTTGTCACTACAGGAATTATGTCCTGTGACTCCCAGGGAGAAACTGGTCTTTACAAAAATCAACTGCAAATCAATTGCTAATTTTTTTTTAATTCGACGGGTTCGCGTACTGGGCAGGTCAAGAACAAGGAGTCGAACAACTCCCTGGTCAAGAACCACCTTTCCGCTTCCGTGGGACGCCACCACCCCATAATCAGGCGTCAGATGCGGCTCCTAAACGGTGGGGGAGGATAGATCAGATCCACCAACCATAGGCCAAAGGCCAATTGCTAAATCGACCAAAACAAAGTGTACGGATTCCTGGCACATACAGTCGTGTACCAGGTGAACTCCAAACGACCAAAAATCACATTTGGTACCCCAGACACAGATCCTGACGTCCTGAAAGTGGTGTGGATGCTGCCGAAAAAAGTACACGCGCACAAGTACAGTGATGTATTGGGAGGTGGTCTTGAGCACTGGCTTGGCATGCTAGGTCGGATTTCACCTGTAAAACTGAACTGTAGCGTGTCATGTGACTTTTGAGGATACTGACCCTTAACTGGCTTTAATAAGCCTTCCCAACTTTTGTTCTTCTTTTCTTTTGGCCAATGCAGTATGCCTACTATTGAGTGCGGTATTAACTTGTTTTCCTTTTTTAGTGCAGTATTCACTTGGGGCATGTTCGATTGGTAGGATCGGGATCCCAATCCACGGGATCAACTGGATTCGCACCCTTTCGATTGGTCGAATCCGGATCCTTCGGATTTGGATCCGGTCAACCCACCTCGGGGAGCAGCGTTGACCAGATCCAACGTATCCAAATGTGACCTTGGTGCATATATGGCGGGCAAATCATCACTTTTGTTGGATCGAGATAGAGCTTGTTGACCTTTTGGTACAACACACGCGATGAGTACGACTTTCACCCTTTTGGGTGACTTGTGAGTGCCATTTTATTGCTCCGTCAACTTGGCAACAGTCAAGGTCCAAAATAAAGTGTTCAGTTGACTCTGAAGGATCCGACGGATCCGAGATCTGGATCCCGATCTCGATCCTTACCAATCGGACATACCCCAGGCCCTAGTCTTGGGGTTAGACATGGGGGAGTTGCCATACTGGGGTGTGAGCCCTCCTCTCAGCATCGTAAGTACAGCTCTCAGCTCGAGTCATCTCTACTGAGTGAAGAGGACCCACACCTCGGTCTGGTGAGCTGTGTCATGGTATTTGGCAGTCGGATGTGTGCGACTGCGGGGCTCGAACCCGCGGCCTCTTGGGTCGCAGGCAAGTGCAGTGCACAACGTGCTACGGGGGGGGGGGGGGATATTGTCTGGGGCCAGCCGGAGAGGGGTGGTTCCGGGCAGGGCAGGTCTGTCTCTCTGTGTGCACACAGGGGGAGGGGGGGGGGGGTGACAGGATTTTACGAGAGCAGAAACTGCTTTGGGAAGGTGGCTGTTCACTACTCCTGGTTGCAATGCAATACTAGGACATGGACTGAACGTAACCCTGTAATGTTCTATGCTGGATTGGTTGGAAACAAATACTATGAAGTCCCGTAGTTAGAAATCTTGACGACTTCTACTGCAGGTCACTATTGGCTCCAAGCAGAGACTCGTCCAGAGCAAACGTGGCACAATGTCGTCTACGTACGTGTCGGTGAACCATCTCCCTCCACTGGCTCCACGGCCTTCGTACGACGCAGAGAACGGCCCGGCATCGCGGCTGGACGAACGATGCGCCACCGACTTTTTGAGTGACGGAAGCGCTGGACTGAGCTGGATTCTGTCCGCGGCCAGAGTTATTCCTCACGTAGCCTCATCGTTCTCCTCGTCGCGGCCACGAGTTCCATTGACGTCGGACATTGGCTACGTACTGATCGACCAGCACCAGCTATGAAGCAAGAATCTTTCAGCGGAAGATTTCTGTTCTCCGTCGTCGAAATGACTCGTACGGAAAGGCTCGTCACGAGTTCATGGCAAGCCGGAAGCGAAGTATTACCGGTGAAAGTGGTGCTAACGCTTCAGGGATAGGACAAAAACTCACGAGCCGGAACAAGTGGTCGTCACTAACACCACGGCCTACTAAAATTTAGTTACTTTTCCATCTCCGACTCCGGCACTACACACTAACGTGATTTGAAACAGACAAAGCAGGAAGAGTCCTTGTTGCTCAAAACAGGGCTTGCTGTTTGCCCCGCGGGCCCTGGGCTCCATGAACGGAACATGGACTCTGATCTTGTGCAGTAAGCCATCCATTTATGGACGGTTGAAATTCGCAGCTACAAGAACTAGCAGTGCCGGCTACACGTGATGTAGCCTGGCGCCTCTATCAAGTATCATAGTGGACGTGAAGGACGTAATAACTGTTGTAGGGCTGGATCAACGAAAGGTTCGAAGGTTCGCTCACTGCACTATTCGTTTCCGAATCCAAAAGAAGGAGTTGCAGTCAAAGGAAGGTTCGAAACCCATTTTTTTGAACATGCATAGTCTCAAAATCTACTTTTAAAAACTCTGGGAAAGGCATTTCAAGAGCCTGAAACCACCAGAATGGCAACAAAAAAGTGAAAAATAGCCTTTCCACCGGTTGCCTTCAAAGTGAACCCATAGAATTATTGCTCTACATGAGATGAAGTGTAATAATAACTTTTTTAGGATGACCCAAAGGCTAACCGCCTATCGTGGGGTCCGTCGCATTGAAGGATGATGGTACAAGAGAGTACAGTGGGAAGGGGGGGGGGGGGGGGCTACGATGAACAGGGTAACGGCATGCCAGCGAGTAGACCTGAATACTGACAAGAATGTTTGCATAAGTACTTTGAGATGCTAACAGTCCGAAAGGACAGTCCTACAAGTAGTAGAATGTTAGAATCTTCATTCGTTTAGATTATCTAATTCTCTGAAGGGATTCTGGACCGATAGCTAGCCGCAATGCATTCTTCCATACAAGGGTGTTTTAATAAATATCCATCCCAAGCGTAAAGCTATCGTGCCAAGTCCCTCCCCTCCCTCTACGGAAGGTTTGAAGGCGAGAAGAAGCGTGTTTACGGTGAATGTGTCAATGAAGTCGAGCATGGCTCCTTCACACCGTTAGTGTTCTCTTCCTGTGGTGGCATGGGCCCAGAAGCAGCTGTGGTCATCAAGAGGCTGGCGCACGGCTTGGCCACCAAACGCAACGCTGCCTGCTGGGCTGTAGCTTGGCCGCGGTGCTGCATGCTTGGCATTGTCTCTTGCCAGGTCTGCCATCCGTTGTGTCCGAGGAGCACGCTCTGTTCGCCGTCGTCACTTCGACCTCGCGCCTGTCGACCTCGTCCAGGCTGAGGCGCGTCTGGCTCGACATTAGACTGTATTCACAGCCATTTATCTCCTTTCTTCCTGTTGTATTATTACTATCCGGCGTGTATCTACCGCCATATTGCCTGGTGCGTGTTTACCACCATATGAAAAAAATACTCTCCCACATGTAATATCTGCTTCCCTGGTTGAAAGACTACACTGTAGATCTACGTGTGCCACATACTAGTAATCATCAGTGGCTGTGCTGCCGTTGTTGAAACAGAGGAAAGGGCCGAGAGTGCCTGATGAGTCCAGCGGGGACGAAATGTAGAATCTACGTCGCAATCAAGCTATGTCGTTGCTGTGTCTGCTTCTTTTCTTTGTTTTCTTTCTTTGTACTTATACTCTTTCACGAATTATGAAATTTATCTGAGTAGGAGATCCTCTCGACAGGCCTAGAGCCTCTGGGTAATCCTTGAAATAATACTAAATACTACTTTTGAAGTACTTCGAAATAAACAAATACATGTACTAAAAATACTATGCGCCATGCGCTACCTGATGTACCAGCCTGCTATGTCGGATACCGTTAACCATGCATCGACTAGGCGCCAGGCGCGAACTGATGGTGGTGGTGGTGAGAAAGAGAGCTCTGCGCCAGAATCACTTTGCAGCCTAGAGAGCGTCTGTGTGCAGGCGTGTATTTACCGCCATATTGCCAAGTGTGTATTTACCATCATCTGAATCAACGATAAGTACAGCTGCAATGGAGTCTTCAACTTCATTCTCTTCCTTGCCTCTGTTAAAAAAAAACTACTTTTGTTGAGGTTTCCGTACATACATTTTGCTAACGAGTCTTCCATGGTAAAAAAACTACTAAAACACTTAAAAATGTACGCACTTCCTGGTAGAGGTACATGTGGCCTCGGCTCAGGTGAAACGTCCTACAGATTACATGTATATCGGCACCACTCAGAGTCAAATCAATGGTTTACAGAGGTTTTGGGCAGCCAGTGCTCAGGATTTAGTATGATTGGTTGGTTGTTCAAGTATACTTTGTTTTACTTCTCCAGAATGAACTCTGAATAACGTTAGGCATTGCTACTTTCTTCCATGGACAAGTGATCAAGCTCTCACAGAATGACGAACACTGGAAAGAAATAATAGAGACAGAGAGAGAGAAAGAATAATGCTACATGTCCTATGCCACCAGTATGACTTACATGTACAATGTACCGGTACATGTAACCATACGCCGATGTGTCCGCCAGAGCCACGGTCGGACCCTATAAACGTGAGGATCGTATACCTCTAGAAACATAATTATTGTTGGAATGTTGACTTGCTGTACACACTACACTGTACACTGCGGTCATACCCATACCAGTATAATTTTTATGAGCATTGTGAAGAGGACATGCCATGGGGGTTCCCCTGAGTCACTCCTACCCTCTCCTGGCCTGGTGTAGTGAGGCTGTGTATCTCAGCTTAGTCAAGAGACAAGATGTGAGTAGTGGTGGCACTCTGCACATGGCATATGGCCATGGAAAGAACGAGAAGTATCTTCATTGGGCCAGGGTCCTGGCCAGGGCAGACTATCATCAAGAGTCTATGCCCACACGCTGGCTTACCCCACTCCTGCACACGCATGTACTCCACAGTACCTAGTACCTGTACTCTGTGTTCACGTGGATGGTTGTGATCTATCCTTGATGCACGATCACACATCGGTGACGAGTGTAGGATGGGATACGTGACTTTAGACAGTACCAGTACACGATGGCACGACTTTTCCAAGTTCAATAGGTAATGGCATGTTTGTCAAGTAAGTTCAGGAGAACATGTTGTGGGGAGTTTGGAATGGCCATACATCATACTATAGTATTATAGTATGTCTTCAAAATACTGTCTTTCACACTCACACACGTGTGGCCACGTGGTGGGACTTGCATGCATCCAGTTTGGAAACACTGCCCCTGACACTGCCGCAGCGACTGCAACGGATTACGTTTTTTAAAAGGTTACAGAACTACCATTATGCAATTATGGTCCAGGCAAACACTTACACACTTACAAACACCACACTAACACACGCACGCACCCACTTACACATACGTACACACACGCACACACACATAGTGATACACACAATAAACTTCTCTATGGAATGTGCTACATGTATTCTCCGCCACAGTCCACTTAGTCCGACTTTCGTCAACTGTTCCTACCTCACCCCTGGTACACTGGAAGTACGTGTAACACTGAAGCTGAGACCTCAGGTTGACGGAGATACTCCAGTTTCACCTCCACAGCTGCGACTGGACTGGAGCCATCTGTGTTATGCCGTATCTGTCTTTGAGGCTTGTGGTTTCCCGTAAAAATACATTGATACACACATGCATGTAGGGTTTTTGAAGCCAGTGCTCCAATACGCCCCTCAATCTCCCCTCAATGGCTCCTGGCCATCTGCATCTCCTTGTTCGTGTCTGGAGAAAAGCCCAGCACATGCTTGGCCTCGATGTCCTGATACAGAGTGTGCTAGTAAGGACTAGGATGATCTCTGCTCTACATGTATGCTACTCCATTATTATTATTCTTTATTTCCACGATGGCCCATGGCCAACAAGGAAGATACAGTCATGTAGTTGTGATTCAAATCAGTCCAGAATCATATAACATCAGTCTAGCAAGTAAGGAAGCCAACACATAGCAGAGGGATGGGGTGATGATGGGGTGCAGTGTGAGCTACTACAGGACTCCATGAGCTGATGTGTCTGGCAGGGCCATAGTTGACCACTATGTCCCCCCCCCCCCTCATCTACTTCTGCTAAGGCCAGGTGAACACGAGCTGATTACACTGAACGCCACCAGCTACAGCTGCAGTTAGCCTTTGGAATATAATACTCGGAATATTGGCAGATTCTGCTCGACTAAAAGCAGTGAAACGAGCAGAACCATACAAACCTTAGGGTATACACTTCCTTCTTCTGCTCCATTCCTTTATTCACACACCGAACATGCATTGAACATACTGAAGTACCAGAACAAGTACCATTGAATTCTACCGATTTTTCTGGAGAGAGAGAGAGAGAGAGAGAGAGAGAGAGACGTGGATGTTTCTAAAACATGATGTAGGCACTCATGCGGCAGTCTACATGTACAAGTACTTCGAAGTACATAGATCTACGGACATGGTTTTCATTTCGCTGCTTGGACCTTTCCCATCTGAGCACTATCCGTATTGCATGCTATGGCCTTCGTGACTGTGCTCCCTGTGAGAATCGAGCCTAGCCTAACACAATGGAATGCTATTGAATCACTGGCGCGGTGTTCTTTTCTTCTAGAAGATCGTGCAAGGAGATTCCAACACTCAATAGCTACACGCACGTTCTAGTTTCAAGTACCAGTAAAACGTTAGTCGGATACACACTTCACGGTGCACTGTGGTCATGGACGTGTCATGGGGGTTCCAAGTACCTGGGCACTGACACTGAGCCTGTGCTCACTGGTTGCGATCTATTCTTGATGCACGGTCACAGGCCAGTGACTAGTGTGGCATGGGATACGTGACTTGAGACAATACCTGTACACGATTGCAAGACTTTTCCAAGTGAGTAAGTAATTCAGGAGGGCCTGTGGTGGGGAGTTTGGAATGGCCCAACATACCATGTACCAGTGGCAGTATGTCTTCAGATACTCAGTACTGTCATTCACAGTCCGACACGTATGATGGGACTTGCATGCATCCAGTTGTTGACACACTGCCTTACCAGCGACTACAACCTGTATTGTACAGTAAAACCTGGTGTAAGCGACCTCTGGTTTTGGCGACCACCTGCTCTTAACGACCATTTTTCCATACAAGGACAGTTCTACACAGACACTGTGGAACCTGGTTCTAAAGACCACCTGGCTTTAACGACC